GTCGGAACCACATCAAAATTGTCCAGCTTGTTCGACAACCATTCCGAACTTAAGTAGGGAATTAATTGGACTATCTTCATATTATAGTTTCAGCTGATGAACTGATTCCCATTTAAGTTCACCAATGTATTTGCATTTGGGGTAAGATTCGAATTTCAGCGTAATTAGGTGAAGATTATTATAAAAGGATAGTCAGTTGTAAAAGTGATCACATATGAACATATATTACCTTAAAATCATGATAAGAGGGTTAGAATTTGCTTAATTTTTTTAAATAAGTAAGCCTACACCGAGTTAGTAGTAGGTTCCAAATATCAGCACTCAATATAAACAATAAAATGATAGAACAATAAATATGATCATAAACAAAACGTTAACTTTAAAATATCAAGACCAGAACCCTTCAAGTGATTTATTAAATCCTCATTCTCTTTGACCAATATTTTTAAAGGAAAGTTTTATTCCCATGGAACTCTCATCTCAGACCTTTCGATCAAACTGTAACTCATACATATCTCGGTCTAGTTCGTGGATCAGCCAATTACGCCATATTGGAACGAAATGGCCGAAAGAAACCACGTACACCTGTTCGGCCGAGCCGAAAGGAATTTTTTAGTTTGCCTTTTCTGTACTTAATCAATTTTTTATAGTCAAATTGTGAATGTGCGCCTATACGTACATCTGTTCATTGTCCATTCATTAAAAGCGTGATGTGATCCAGACATGCTTGAAAAAACTACAACCAAAACTTACACGTCCACAATAAATTATTCTTTTATTGCCTTGCTTATGTCATAGTAGAATTTGTTTAACGGCTGATTAGTTATTTATGCTTGTGTACAACACGTCATAATTGAATTTTTAAGCCATTCCTTTTTAATTACAGAGTAGCAAACCAATTTGGGAGTGCTTCAGACATGTCATAGCTGAACGATCCTATATTTGTTCCAATTTCGGTTTCATCTTCAATTATCGTTCCATATTGATAGATTTAACGTAAAATAATGTAACGGATGCAGAATGTGGTTTGATTACACAACGTCTGACTAATTTTCCTCATTTTGTTGTGGATTACACATTACTCGCTTACTATCTAAAAGATATTCTGCCTTAAACGCTTGTGAAAGTTCTAGGACACCATTTAAGGTATGATGATTAGCTTTGTTCTGTGGGAGTACGATTTTGCTGTAAAAGTGACGTAAATCACATTATCCAGCACTACACCTCATCACACCTACAGTCGGCGCGGTAACTGGGTACCATTTTTCATTGTAGCGTGGGTGCGTTTTATATGTAAAGATTCAAGACGTTCTGATCTGATACGGCTGCGGTCATTTAGAAAACGTGCTAATCTGTAATTGGTTCGTAATTACATTTATAGTAGGTACGTCATCACTCATCGTAGTCCTTAAACGGCTATGGAAGTTCGTTCGCGGGATATAAATTAAATAAGGTTAAGGCAACTAAACCGTTAGTAGGTACTTGCTAGCTGTGGTTATCTTCGATTTTATACCTTGCATGTGTGCCAAATACCGTTAAGTGTTAACAGACGGTATTGTTTCCTCATACTTGCATGTACCATCTTCTTAGCTTATTTATTGGCCACAAGTGCTGTCAGTTATTCAATTCAATTTACTTATTACGCCTGGCGCAAAAATCAGTTATTCAGTTATAAAAGGTGCATCGATGAGAATTTTATACTTTGATTGATGAAGAGTAATTAGTCTTTCTTCCAAGTACTGTTAATATTAGCGATATAAAATAAATCCTCAAATCAGAAGATTGTTACTGCTATTAATGAGTTAATGAGGTAGTTGCAATAAAACACAGACGTAAAGTAAAGACGATCTTTATTCGATTACAGCTTTCGTGTGATTGGATTTTTAATCATGTGGCCAAGGGTATACATAATATGTATTCCTTAGAAAAGAAGGAGGGTATATTTTATATATGGAAATCAAGCATGACGCCCTTCTAACATTCTTAGACATTTTTAGTGCCTTACAATTTCCCCCTTTTACCAATCATAATATATCAATTAGGTAAGTGTGACGCGACATATTTTTTGTATACCTATTCAACAACCTTCAATCCAAATGGAGTAAATGGCAGTGTTGTGGTTATGGTCTTCTTAGTGTGATATAGTAGATGTAACAGATTGGAATGCTTACAGCAGATACCACCTTACACTGAGATAACAGAACAGTGCACACCAAGGCACCCTTGACCAACTACTGCCCTCCTCTTCAACGTCTTCTGGAGATCAGATAATTATCTTGAGAACGGAGTGTCGGAACTCTGAAGAGGGTATTATCAAAAGGCGATTAGGAACGTCTGGACGAGACACCGTGATGTCAAAACTTAAGTTCGAATATCTCTGTGATGTAACCAAGTCGACAGTTCCCGCGCTAAGAACGGAAGAAACACGAACTTGGAACACCTCATCGTATTAATACAAACCTTGCACTCGACAATGGCCGGATTCCCTACATTGTATACGACTAGCTTACAGAATGCATATAAAGCCAAAGGCATGCCGGGCTCCCCTAGAACTCAGCTGACAAATGAACCGAGCCCAAGAAACTTCCGAATTATTGTTCACAGAGGGTAAATATAGGTGGAAAATCTGAAGAAAGGAAGGAAGGAACTGTAGGAGAACGCTAAACACACATCAGATCTACAATATACAAAAATAAACAATCCGAGAAAGTAACTCTTGCATTTGAATAATTTAAATCTGACGTTAATCTAATACCTACCACATTTTTGTTATGCTTAAAAGAAGCCAACTCAAACAGATTTAAAAGCAACTCCACTCTCCTTTCCCATTTGTGAAAAATAGCTTCCGAAGTTTCTTACATTAAGTACATGAAATACATGGTTAGTTAGCCGGGCGTCCTCTAATCCAGCATGTATTTAAGGTCCTCGATACGGCATATCTTAGACTAAAATTGTCCACCAAGTGGCCAATCTCTCTTGCAATGTATTGGACGGATGGTATACGTTCCCAACGCATCACGCAAGGTGGACGCCAATACACTTTCATTATCAAATTTGCGCCCATTTCGGACATCGTGCGTAAAATATAGGCGAGCGTGAGGGCCACCCAGGTCAGAATTACCGAGTTTAAAGCACAAACTTACGTAACTCCACATAAACTGCAGCAAACTGTGTCATCTACGCACAAACAAACGAAATGGACTCGGAGGCACAACAACAAAATTTGCGGTGACTAGCACAAATCTCGCCCGTGCACCTGCGCCCCGGTCCCAGAATTTTCTTGGGAGTAATCACACCCCTGGTTCTGCACCTTAACGTTCGACATGAAACGGCGACCTTTCGAGTGCTTCTTCCAAAAACGTGGAAATCGCACGGCGACATATTAACCATGATGGCAATCTAGTCCTCTGTGATGTACTCCTCCGCAATGATTACATTGGATTGTCCTGGTAGCGCATTGTCGTAAGGACTTGTATCCTCTCCAGAACCGTGCCGACCACATTTTGACTGTAATGTAGCTGAAACTGTTGTCACCATACATAGCAGCCATTCTGCGATGAGTTTTAATCGGTTTCACTCCTTCAGCTGTCGGAAAACGCACACCTCGCTTTTCTTCCTTCGATCCTCTACCCATCTCGTCAACTTCTAGAATTGTTAATTATCAATGGGCAAAAGCATTAAAAGGACATTTCAACTTGGAAATTATGACAATTAGCATTCAAATTAAAAGCTCCTATGAATTGCATTGTCCTATGTTCTCTGTACTATAGGTACAGTGTTGAGTGTGGGAGTATATGTGTTCTTCCTTCCTTGTTCTTCATGGCTTTAATGCTTTAGTTTAAAGCGTCCTAATAATCAGCAAGTCTTAAAATCGCTCTGCGAACATTGAAATAGTTATTAGCGTAAAAAAAGGAAACACTTAAAATTTAGAAAAGGCGCTGGAAATATTCTCGTTCCAATATTAAAATACTTACTGGCACTGAAAGCTCTACCATTATTATGTATTACAATAGCGTTAGTGTAAGCACCAATTATTTTTACAATGGGAATTCATGTAATGCCAAATTTTCTCAGGATAATGTTACATAACAATTAAAACTTTTAATCACAGCTGACACTCTCATTTGACTTTCTTTGAAAATGTTTGGGTTTGTGATTTATAGATATATGGGGGATTAAACAATCCACCTCTTCTGCAATTGAGTATATTGTAGGCAGTGTGTGGTAATTTCTACTGCAATAACGCAATTCATCCAGCAAGCAATGGAGGCAGTCTTTAAAAGCTTGACCTACATCCTTTTATTTTGTAAAGGAATTCAATCGAGCCGTGTATACCTGTTACTTCAACTCATGCAACCTTGAACTAAAACGTTCCGTTACACCTGTTCGACTACATTATTATTTATTTCATACGCGGAAGATTATTGGTCTTCGCCAGACATGTTCTCATCTATATTTAATTGAAAATTGTTAACAATTAACGATCGATTTCGTTTTGGACGTAGATGTTTTGGTAAGCCAAAGTAATACGGCAGGTGGACGACCTCATGGCGTATTTACGGGTGCGGTAATGTATGCCAGGGAGTCGATGTGGGGGGAACGCAACCGATTGCCAAAAAGCGGAAATGCCACTGGGCTTGTAGGTAGATGTGCATCATTTCCGATTCTAATGAGTTTGACTAAGAGGAAACGTGATTGCTTTGAAGTAACGGGAAGCAGAAGATGCTTCTATTTTTAACGGAGGACAGCTTTTGAAATCTGAAAATCATTCAAACAGAGCTTGAAATTGTAACAAAGGGTTATTAAAAAACTAACTTTTTCTTATTGTTTTACGTTGCGGATTTTGAGCATCTCAGTCAGTAACAGCATTGAATAATTCAATGGTAACAGTAAAAACTTTCACTGCACCTATTATTTAATTCGGATGGTTTGTTATCCTTAAATCTATATATTTAATTCGTTTCTTGAATATTATTAGTGATATATACTTTTCTTTGCAGGTATGCGGTATCATATGTATGTCATGTGCGAATACAAGGTTCGAGAAAGCGACACATTTCTTCATGTTCGTAGCAGTTATGAGCTTCATCTTTACACTTTTAATGGTAGTTGCTTACTTGATTAGTCTGCGAGAGGCTTTAGCGAAATTTCCGATCAACGTGCTTATGAGCGTAAGTATATTTGCATATTGATAAGATAAAAATGAGAAAATCCTAGTAGAAGATCTGAGGGCGTAGTAGAACTATTTTTACTAATGCTAGTATATACTTCGGTACTATTTAACATTAAATTATACACAGCCTTGAGTTATATTTAACAAAACATTGTGTTTATGGCCATGAGGAAGTTTTCATTTGTTTCTTTGACATATACTCAGTTCCACAATACTGGTATTTTTGATGTATAGATACTATATAATTAATTATTGTTATTTGGTACCAAAATTTGCTTTGGTACATTCATCATACCAAGATTTCATTTATTAAGTGCTAATTACATCGAATTGTTTATCTAAATAATCTATTTTTAGGAATTAATCACAACGGGTATATGGGCCGTATGCTATCTAATAGCGTTTATTATCCAATTAGCGATTTGGTCCAGTAGCTGGTTCCCAGATCGAGGTGCCAATATAGCGGCGGGGGGAAGTTATGTGTAACTCTCTACATCTAGTAATTCGATTATTTTGTCTAGGTATTTGGTATAATTAACACGGGATTGTATGGATTTGGGACATACCTTTTATATGTAGAGTCGAGGAGTATAAGTTAGGTTGTAAGCGGAGGAAGGTTCTACGTTCATTTACAGTGTGTCTTTTTTCTTCCAAATTGAACAGCACTTTGATATTAATCATTTCCTACGTGAAACAGGGCAGCAAAATACAATTGCACACCGCGAAATTGTAGGTGATAAAAGAGTCACACTGTGAATAGTTTGATCTGAATATTTATTTGTTATATTGTTTGTAAAATGCCAGACACTTTGTAAAGTGGTAACTTTATTCATATGACATTTTGTAACATTAATATTGCATAGTCATTGTTTTATCTGCAAAGTTTATCTTTTTTTATACCTTAAAAAAATTAAGCAACTATTTTACATAGTTTTTATGTTACAATAGGTTATTTATAGTTATCTTTGCTACTGCACAGATATTTTAAGTTAAATTTGAGTTGTGTAATATAACAGCAATGTAAAGGTAACGTTTGTATAAGTAAAAAAATATTAGTAACAAATAAATAGGTATATAAGTTAAGTCTCTGTTTTATTCTGTTATTTGAATGATTTGGTTAAAACATGACAGATCTCCCAACTACCAGTAGAAAACAAGTTAAAAAGTTATTATGCAAACATAAATCACCAGAGCGTATTTTCCTCGTAAAGAACCGGAAAAAAAGCCGGTAAGCACGAGATCCTTACCCCACTCTCTTCCAAATGAGCTGCCTATCGTCGAAGTCTATACAGTAATGAAAAATAGTGGAGCGTATATAAATACAAACAAGTTTTGATATGAGCATTAGTTTTACCTTTATTCGAAGCGTTTACATATGAAACTTATTTAAATGCTTTCGTAAATAGCATTACGCATTGCCTACATTAGAAATTTCATGGAATACCTTCATAAATAAATCATACAGCATGCGTAAACAGTAATTTTTAAGCTAACCGGTAGATATTAGTTTTAGTTTCATTCAATGTGCCTACATATGATAGGTATTTCATTTAACTGCTTTCAGAAATAAGAACGTTGGCATTGCGCATGCGCAAAACAAGATTTTGATAACGTCGTTAATTTTACTTATATTCGTAGTGTTTACATATAAAGTTTCATTTAAATATGTTCATAAATAACAAAGTTAGCATTGCACATGCGTTAAATCAAATTTTTGACACTGCGCATGCGCATAAATATTTACGGAATACTTGCACCAAGCCCTTTCAAATGAGCCCTATATCGCCCAAATCGGTTCAGTGATGTTAGAAGGAGTACGTCTGAAGGACGGACGGGCGACGAAGTGCAGCCAATAGAGATTTTTCACTTTGAGGAAAATACGCTAAAAATGTATCCCTAAGGGGTTGGAACCTATCAGGTCGTAAAGCGGATGATTACCTTTTTAGCGTGTAAGCAAAAAACTTCTCCACCTTATGAGCGGTTTTTATAAACCGTATGGAGTGTAAAAAGGATGTTAACATCTAAGGGAAAAAAACCGAAAATAATATCTTGAAAACTGAGGGAGTAGTTGTAACTTTTATCTCTACCCCATCAGTGCTAGTTATGTTTATGTTTATTCGTAAGATAAAAGTAAGAAAATCGTAGAAGAAGATCCCATGGCGTAATGTTAGCTATTTACTATTTAAATAATGGTACAGTTGTGAATAAGTATATACTTCAGTACCTACTATTAAACATTAAGTTATATATGCCATTGTCTAAATACTTCATAGTTGGACAGCCTTATCAATTATCATATATATTCCATAGCCATATAGCCTACAGAGTACAGCCACTAAATGTGTGCCCACACATGTCAGAGCCAACAGTCGAATACGGATCCTGCTCACTGAGTGACATTCCCAGCATTTTACTGGCGTGTGGTGTGTTATTTCCTTATAACATAAAGGGGTTTACGGTGTTGTCGTTGTCACTTGGCACAATTTAGATCGTTGCATGTTAATAAATGTGTTTTATAATTACATTTATCATTCGTTGCATAGTCACACTGGACACATTTTAAATTCTTGGTAGTCTCGTGTATCAAAATGCTATTGCGCATGTGCGGTGTTCTACATAGGTCCGTCTTTGTTAGTGATGTTGGCACAGATATACTTCTTATTGAAAGTAAATGGGAGACTATATCTATGTCTATATGATCTAATTATTTAACAAAGTTTTCATTAGTTTCTTCGGCATGCCCTTAGTTTCCACAATACTTTTCTAAACAAAAAACTTTTGATCTTTGATATCGCACATTCTTCTATACTGTATGTGATCATTTTTATGTGGTAGGTATCATAATTTTCTTTGGCACAGCCATCATATCCACATCTAGTGCTAATTACAACAGCTAATTACTAAATATTTATCTAAAGATTTATTTTCAGGAACTAATTACAACGAGTATATGGGCCGTATGTTAGGTATATGATAGCGTTTACTATCCAATTAGTGGTTTGGTCCGGTAGTTCCTTCCCAGATCGAGGTACCAATACAGCGGCGGGGGTAAGTTATGTGTAAACTCTCTAGGTACACCTAGTAATTCGATTCTTTTGTCTAGGTATTTGGTATAATTAACACGGGATTATATGGATTTGGAACATACCTTATGTGCGTAGAGTCGAGGAGTATAATTAGGTTGTAAATGGAGGGTGGGGGGTTCTACGTTCATTTACAGTGTGCCTTTTTCTTTCTGATTTCCTACGTGAAACAGGGTAGTAAAATGCAATTGTAGCTACATGACATTTTGTAACATTAAAATAGCATAGTCTTGGTTTTATCTGCAAAGTTTATCTTTTTTATACTTTAAGCAACTATTTTACATAGTTTTTATGTTACAGTGGGTTATTTATACCTAAGTAGTGTTGTTACTTTATCTTTGCTACTGCACAGGTATCTTAAGTTATAAACAGCAATATTATGTTCCTTGTTCAGAGGTAACGTTTGTATAAGTTAAGTTTTTGTGTCTTAACACTTAATAAACTGAAAATAAAAAAAATTATGCTTGATTATTGATTTTCGCTGCTTTTTTGATGTAGGGTACCAGATATAGTTGGGACGTTGATTGTATGTAGTGTATGTAATGTAGTCTTAGTACATTTGTTAGCTATGTGTCTTGGTTGCTTACAGATAAAACACTCCATCTGGTCTGTTACAGGTTCGTACTGCATTGTTTCTCTCCTCTACAGTAGAGGAGAGAAACAATGCAGTACGAGATAACTGTAGATGTCTGTAGCTCGAAATCTTCGACCGGAGGAAGTATGTAGACCTGTTTGCAGAAGTTCAAGATGTGACCATATAGTCATCGCTGGGAAAACAAACCTTCAGAAAGGAAACAGGAGACGCGAGTTTTAGGCCAAGATTTTTAATTGTGTCTTCAGCAATGTCGTGTGGTATGGTCGTATGGATGAACTGAAGTTGGAGATGGCGACTCGTTTGGTTTGTGATACTACTAATAGCATAGTTTTTACCAGCTATAATGATACTAGGGCATTGATTAATGAGAGAGTCGACAAGCTCAGCTTTGTGTATATTTTTTTTTTGTATATGCAGATTTTGTTATATATCATTGGTCCAAAGGAAATGTTTTTCGTGTCAATAATACCACCAATTGCTTAAACATAGTCGATCAGTTCGAACATCCTCTGCATGAATTATAATTGCGTGGTATTTTTTGGGAAAAACTGTTTTGGGCATTATTTTGATGGCTGATGAACACAAAACTTTATTATCTTGGGGGTCTTGTATTTTGTCTTGCATAATTACGGTTTCGGAAACGTTAATTTTTACTATAAGCTGCCCTTGTAGTCAAGGCTGTACACAACTGTTGTTTGTCACCTGAATAATTCACACGCAGTAACCGACAGAAAAACTGTTCATGCGATGCTCACTTTACGAAAGCTAAACCAAAACTCTGTCTCTGTTTTAATTCTATTAATTCCATTATTTGAATGAGATGTGATAAGGAATACGTTAGTTATTATGACGTGTGGCCAACCACTGTTGCTATCTTCTAATTGCAATCCAGTAATTAAGTACACCACTTTATATGCAGCAGGGGTGCAGTATTCTCCATGGATTTTGTATTTATGAATTAAAATTGTTGCAAACATGCATATTATCATTTGGATAATGAAAAAGTCTGTGCTATGATGACTGAAATCAAGGTAACTCATATTTACATATTTCACCTTAGCAGTCCAATCGTTCCCCGAAGATTCCTTCCTTAAATACGAGGAGAGTTTGATATTTATCTACCTAACCATGAAAAGGACAAACAACATTTTATTTTTCAACGTAAAACCCTTTATAGTAGGGGAGCTAGCACGAAATCCACTGAACGAGAATGATCAAAATTTTAACCGATGGAGTTCCATTTTGCCCTATCAGAGTATGCTCAAATCGATCGTCTGCCGCCTCAGGTCATACGACTTAAGGCGCTGCGGGTACTTCTTGTGGTACCAATTCTGAAAGGTTGTTTTTCGAGAAAATAAGTTATACACCAAATGAAAACGTTGATAATAGCTCTTAAAAAAATATTTTAAAAAATCGCGCACATTTGATAACTCCGTAAAAAAACAATTCTTAGTCGGTTTTTCACGAACTTTCTACGGATATAACTAGGGTACCGTTGGAAAAATGAAGCTGATTTTTTTTACAGACTAATGAGAGGTACAGCCAATGACTATGAGAGTGTTTCTTTTTTACATTTTTTCTCTAATTATAAGATATCTTATAATGTTAAGATAATAAGATAATCTTGTAATTAGAGAAAAAATTTAAAAACGAAACACCGTTAAGTCATTAGTAGTACCTATCATCAGTCTGTAAAAAAAAACAGCTTCATTCGTCCAACCGTAACCTAGTTATATCCGTAGAAAGTTCGTGAAAAACCGACTAAGAATTGTTTTTTTACGGAGTTATCAAATGCGCGGGATTTTTTTAAATATTTTTTTAAGAGCTATTATCAACGTTTTCATTTGGTGTATAACTTATTTTTTCGAAAAACAACCTTTCAGAATTGGTACCACAAGAAGTACCCGCAGCGCCTTAAGTCGTATGACCTGAGGCGATCGATTTTAGCATACTCTGATAGGGCAAAATGGAACACCATCGGTTAAAATTTTGATCATTCTCGTTCAGTGGATTTCGTGTTAGCTCCCCTACTATTAATATTACACGATTATTTCAATGTTTTTCTATGCAACCGAAACAAAAATTTGCGATATTTTGCAATATACGACTCCACAGCATTTTCAAAGTCGCCATTAGACCAAAATCCTCCCCTTCGTAAGCGTATTTTGAGTTTTGGATAAAACAATTGTCACAGGGATCAGATTGGAATTGTAAATAGGATGTTCTATGTTCTTGCTTCATTCCTTAACTATTTCTTCGACAATGTGGTCTTTATTATGCACTCTGCCGTTGTGGATGGTTCTGAATTGTATTTTAGTAGAGCATTTTGACATGTACAGTACAATTCATAGTGTTTTCTCAGCATCCCAGAGAAGAGTGGCCACAACTTCTTTGAGAAAATTGCGTCTTCGCACTTTTGTATAGCGGAGCCCTTTTAAGAACCAATTGCATTAACTCTTGACTCTTGTTTCAAATGAAGGGTCCCATAGTCTCATCCTCTGTTACGTCTTCCTCTTGGGATGAAGCAACTAAATTTTCGGAAATTTGTCATCTTTATAGCTTTTGTTCAGAACTGAGCGCTTACTTGAGAGTCCATCCGCCATATTGGAACAAAATGGCGGAAATAAACCTACCTACACCTGATCGGCAGAGCCGAAAGGGATTTTTATTATTACTTTAGTTTATTTATTTCATAATACAGAAATGGACTTGAACCTATACCTACTATAACCGTTATACAATGAATGGAATACAAACTGAAAAAGCACAAAGAAGAACTTCTTTATAATTTTTTACAGCTTTTGTTACCATAAAAGCTCTCCTTCCAAAAAAGAAATTGTTTTTCTTCCGTAACCTGGCGAATACTAATAGAATTCTGGATAGTGCACGAAGTTATGCCCTTGGGAGGAAAGTGAAAAAGACGATTGTTGAGACGCTCAATTTTTAAATGCTCGGCCATTACACCTGTTACAAACAAGTCAGCTAGTCTGATTAATCTACGATTCAGAGAGTAATAGTATATATACTTGGCCAATCGGGCTGGCATCAAATAGGTTCCTCCGAAGATAAATCTCGGAAGCATAGCTGGCTTGTATTCGGATTTTGGGAGGTAATAGTAGGATTTCACATTACGAACAGTTTTCCAATTTTTGTGTACCCTTCCGTAAATGGCATTTTTTGTTGGATCACGTGACGACATGTAGGTGAATAATCGGGGCATATTTATAAAAACATTGTCTTCAGTTTTAAGCAGATAATCAGCTTGGGAGCAATAATCTCCTACCCATTTTAAGAGCGCTATGGTTTTAAGTATAGAATTTGCCTGTGAATCTAAGAATTTTAATTGTAAGATATCATTATAGGTTTTGCGCTCGTTTTCAATTTGTTGTTGTAACTGTTTATTCGCCACTTTGCCAATTAAACAACAATACAATACGACGTCACGTTGGGCTGCGAAATGGCCCCACGTATTTCGTATAGCCAGACGAGCACCTTCCCGAGATGGAGGTGATGGAATCAGAACGACGAGTCGCAAGTTTTTAACTGAACAAATCAAAGGTTCAATAGTCGTGCAAATATCTTCATTAGCTGGTAGAAAGTGTAGGCGTGGTGCTTCGGGTTTTGGGGATGGTGTCGATGTTGATGTCGTTTCTTCTTCCCCTTTTTTCCACTGCCACTGTTGATCTTCTAGGATTACTTCTGCCCTGTGTGGTGACAATATTGGGTAACTTGGTGTTGTGTAGATGTGATATCTTATTAAAAACACATTGAATACAACAAGCACAAAGGTCGCCATTGTTTGTATTATCGGTAGCCATACCCAAGCTTCTCGCCGGATCTCTGCAATCATTTCAATCATTTCTAGAAAGAAGACTTTAAAGACGTTAAGTAACATTAAGTATAAATACCTATTTACTGCAAAAATGCAATTAATATGAATCATCTCACATGATCAAATGTAGAGACGTCAATATTGTATTGTACTTCAAAAACTGACAAGACAATTCTAAACAAGGCATCTATGATCAAAACTGGCAAGTTATTTTACCAGGTACTTTTTACTGATTTGTAGTTGTTGTTTGTAATTGAAAATAAGTTTTGGTGACAATGGTTGAGAAAAATTCATTTTTAAGTGTGGTCACATCTAAAAGCGAGCTTCCCAAAATTTGTGCGAGGATAGGATTTTTTGGGGGCCTCTTAATATAATGAAAGTAGCGTAATCATTCTCACTTCTGATAGCTCTTCGGGCTGTAATCTCCCAGACATAAAAGTCTGGCGAGGAAGGAATGACGATCACAGCAAACTTGATGCTGGTCTATAATCGTATGGTTTACTATGAAAAACATAAGATGGTAGACTAGTGTCAAGTGTTCTGTGACCGGCATTCTTTCCTGGCCCTGGCGCGACTAATATTTCTGTTTCTATCGATATAAAATAAGCCGATTCCCTCTGAACTTTAGAGGCATGAGATGTGTAGTCTGTTATATTTTCAGGTAGTTTGTCCACTAAAGATCTTAAGATAAAGTAATTTTTCTTACTTCTATCAGTGTATACTTACTTTAATAGAAAGTCTTGACTAAACCTTAAAAATTTTCGTTCAAAGCTGTATATTTTATTCAATGCTTTTAGAAGAGGTGCACTAAGCGTTCACCAGGCGAAGGTTGTCCTATATACCCGGACCTAAATCAGTTTTTCAAATGATCACGAATTGATAGAAATATCTGTTGTGTCCCCAAAATAGAATTCGTCCCTTTAGTTACTCCTGCAATCAAATACAAGATGTCGCCGTACAATCGCCAACAATGAGCATGACTGTTAAAAAGCAGTATGTCATTTCATCGAGTATAATTTGAAAGCCTTCGTCGTTTTGATCAACCAACAAGCTACGTTATCGCAACCGAAAAAGGCAACTATCGCCAGCCACCATCGTTTATCGCCTTCGTTTGTTTATTGAACCTACTTCGAAATAACAAGTAAGTCCTTTCGCTGATATTACTTTTCGTAATTGTTCTTATTTATAGTACTTACCTACATGGGCGCTCCGTATCAATTCCAACTCAAAATGAGAATGAATTTACTTTACTTGTATTTTTAATCAATAAACACATTAATCATCAGTGTCAATATTCTTTCAACATTCCTCTTAAACGAAAAGCATAGCAAGCATTCCATATACATATATAAATGTTTTTCAATAAACGTCAATATCTGAATATATATATTCAGAATTCTTAATAAAATAATGTACACAAAATTTCAACACAAGCGGTCACTTTTAAAAAAGAGTTAGAGCACACACAGACGGACAGACGGACGACAATACAAATCTATAACGGATCTGAGGATCCTTAATAACTAAACTACTAAGTTTCTGTCGTCACATTTGTGTGTAAAGTGGGTTGCATAACTGTCAGGCATATCAATGCGTTGACTTTGGCTCAATTTGGAAGATTGCAAGGGTTTCGTAGTAGCATTGTATTTATAAACGAATGGTAGTGGCATTGGTAACTAACATAACACATAGATTACCACATTTTTCTATGCATCCGAAAGAAAACATATAAAGGGATGTTAGATTTTTTTGAATTATTTTAATTACCTATGACTCGAAACTTCAGCATAATTATATTCATCAATGTTGGTCTTTTCCAACACATATTTACATCAAACCTAAACCAATGTTCAAAAATGTAAGTCTGTAGGAACCTAGTACCACCCATTCTTTATACAGGGATGGCAAAAATTCAATATACTCATAAATCGTTGAGTAATTACACTTCTTGGTAAACGCAATTTGTTGTAAAACGTAATCATGACGTGGGTGTCGGATCAGCCTTAAGAACTGAACCATTGTTTAAATACTGACTGAACATAGGAGATTTGTATATTCAAAATTAAAATTTAGGCACTGTATATGTTTTTTAACATAAGGAAAAGGAATTCAAAAACTACTGTTGTACTAAATTTTATAGCAAATTAGGTTGGAAAATAAAAAAAACTTTCGCACCGAATTTAGATAGGATTTAGATGGATTACACAACTTTATCCATTGCACATTCTTAATTTAGACCCCGGATTCACTAAAAAAGTCATCAATACTTAGAATTGAGGTGGGCCTTAGGCTGGAAAATATATTTGATGGACCTCTGTTTTTTAGAATCTAAGTACTTTACTAATGAAGACTTCCGATGGCTAACATTTCATAGCGCTTCGATGTCTTTCGGGATTTCTGGAATATTCGCTACATATACTAACTTAAAGCTACTGTTAGATGCAATGATTTAATCAAAAATCAAAATAAAATCGACTACCGGGCTGTTATAAAATTCCTTAAAAACAAGGAAGCTCCAAAAATTATTCTTGAAGAAGTGTTGGCTGTATAGGGCGGTGATTGCCCCTCTAAGTCAACTATTTGCAAATGGTGGAAATTGTTTAATCAACGTATAGGGCGCCCTGTTGAGCTGATGTATTCAGTTGTTGAAAAAATTGGGGGATTCAAGACGACAGAAGGGAAGCTTCAATAAAAGTTTCAGACACCACGGTTTAGAATTTCACACGAGTAGGTACCTTGGGATGACAAAGGTTAGTGCAAGATGGGGTTCGCGAATGCTTTCGCCATTCATTCCAAAAGCGTGTCCGCGAAGAGACCTGTGAAAATTCTTGGCGTGCTGTGGAGACGGACCAGATTTAATTATCAATCGACTTGTCACTGTAGGTTATGATCCTGAATCGAAACAAAAGTCAATGTAGTCGCTAGTCGCATGTTACGGGTTTCAGTTCTTCCAAGAAATTTAGTCACCCCTTCTGTAGGAAAAATAAACCTCTAAAGAGTATTTAAAAAGCGGCAGAGCACCTCGGTGTGACCCTACGGGGATTTGAGTTTTCAATTGGCTTGTTACATGTGGTATATACATATGTTAACTGTGCAAAGTTTGAACCGAATAGATTCAAGCGTTTGCAAGAGACCGAGAGGCACGACCCTACAGGGTCATTGGATTTGACCCATTTTCAATAGGTTTACTACATGTGGCATATAGGTCAACCGTACAAAGTTTGAACCAAATCGGTCCAAGCGTTTGGCAGTTATCGTGTTCACGGACGGACAGACGAACACCATCGACTCCCTTATAAAGCTTGTATCGCTTTGCTCTGCCGCTTCATAATGGCAATCATTGTTTAGGATCAGTGAATTTCGCTGATTGATTATATGAATAAGGGTAGTACGGTAACGGGAGAGTATCATGCAAACCTAATATATTTCCCTTATAGAGATACTGTTAATGTGAAGAGACGCCGAAAACTGACTCTTTGCTCCACGACACATTGACAACTGTTAACCTATCTAACCCGGATTCTAGCATTAGATAGACGTGGTCATTTTGATTGGTCAATCTCCAAGTTTCGTGACAAGATGGCAGCCCTTCACATGAATAGGTAATTTTTTTGGAGTAAAAACGGTGAATGTCGAGCGTGTGTGATACAGATCAGCTAACATACCTACATCGTAAAAACGAGATTAGGTATTTCGTGCTTTCTCCAAATGTAGGATTCCTAGCAATTTAATTACGCAGATTATGTGAGACCACTTAGTGAATTCGACTAGTTTAAACAGTTTTTTTTTAAATTTTTGAATGGAATCTTATGTCATATCACGTTAATTGGAGTTTATTGAACGCCCATTTATAATTTGTCAATGTGAGAAGTTGCCCACCCGTACGAGTAAAAGGCACTGGGTATTGCAGGCAAAGCTTAGGTGACGTTTGTGTTATGTTTGCGGGCCAAGGCCACTAAATTTGCATATTTATGTATGAATTACAATGTTATGACCATTTTTTTCTAGGTCATATTTTTTGACTGGTATCGTTTAAACGTAGGTGTAAATTGTAGTAAGTACGGAAAGTATAATGGATGATCGTGACCTCATTCTCATTATAAATAGAAAATATGGTGGAATAAGTATGAAGATCAAAAGTTCGCTTTGTACTCGTTTCATTCCCAATATGCGGCACTGAAGATGATGCGATTTGAAAGTGTGTCGTAAGGGCAAAGCCTTTTACAAGATGTTACTAGGGTTCATCCCTATAGGGCATAAGGCATGCGCATCGAATTATATTTAAACAAAAATCCAAAAATGTTCGATTTGGTATTTAGGGTACCTATATAAAACCATTCACGCTCAATTCAATTTCAAGGGAAATATTGTAATAGACATTGATATATTAATTATAAAAGGAAGAATAGTCCACCTCCGTACGAGACCGGGAAAATAGGGCGCGGCGGCGTTTGTGCAATGAAAATGAACGCAGTAGGTTTTGAGTAAGCGATCGGTGAATTTCGGTTGGGCTTTCGGTGGCAAACATTAAATAAACAAATAATAGGTAATTTATTTATTTAATTCCTCGAGCGTAGTAAGCAAATCGCTTTCGAATTTGACTTTTCGAAATATCGATTACTCCTATCGGTCAGTTAAACAAAACGCACGCATTCTATATTCGGTCGTAGAAGAAAGAACAGTGTTCCCGACTTCTAAATTTAACTTTTCTTCCGTTTCGAAACTTTCTTACAAAAAATTGAAAATACAAGATTGTTTTATATAATCTCCTTTACAGCTGTTTTATTGAAAACGCGCCAAAATGTCTCACACCGTTACCGTAACGAGGACCACGACAACAACTACTACCTCAGCACTTATCCTCAACATTGGATACCTGAAAACATGGCCTGGGATTTTCAAACTATTCCAACTGGTAAGCCAATCAATTAAATCTCCAAAATTAGAAATTGCGACAGCGGCACAGTTTCGATTTTTAAATTTCTCGAGAAGCGCGATCAATGCGTTATCACTTTCTTAATTAATCATCCCGGTATATTTAACTAATGATCTCATCCACATTCCTATTTCGACGGTAACTAGCGTAATCAACTAATCAGCTTAAACAAATCATTTACAAATCGCGCCTTTAAATTGAATTTTCGGTACTCGTCCCAATCTTTTTGTTATGCTTTATGGGATTAATCTCGGGATTAATTTAGAAGCGCTTCAGTTTTATGATTCACTTTTTTTGCTTATAGCAGACGGGGTTTATAAATAAACCAATCATCCACTTTACTGTTTTTATCGATAGGTGCATTGCCCTCGCGGCCAAATTATTTTACAGTTTACCCCCTGTACAATTTTAATAAGAAAACGTGTTGACGATTACGGCGGCGCAATAGTTCTGTTTGCCCATATTGAAAATAAACGAAATCGATAATATTTGACGTCGTCGAGTTTCTCCTATTTATAGAAAGTGATTTGTTCTCGAAGATGAGTTAGCTTCCAAAGGATTTCAAGGTTTTTCGCACCTGGGTACCTCACATACTTCACCAATTTCGTTGATCGTATCTGTACAATTAAAAAGGAAATTAGGAAACCATACCCTTGAAAGAGACGTCGCGTTGAGGGCCAACAGGTTTTGTGTACCAGTTTCATCCCCAAAATTTCTTACCTGCCTGCTGCATACTATGCAGCAATACAGCACAGTGTGGCCTTAGAGTTGCATATTGACATACATGCATTTGTATTGAATTGCTCATTTATCAATTAATGTTAATATAATAAGGTCACAGAATAAATATATTCCATTCTGAGGTTGCAAATATAATAGGTCAACTCGTCACACTTTGCTTGCTAAATTTTTATCATCATAATTCGAAAAATAAACAAGCTCTTAGCTTTCGTAGTCGTTTACCACCCACAACGATAATCGATGGCGCCTGGCTTTGTTGTTGGCAAAGGGTGAATAATAAGTACTCGTACTTATATAATGTACACTACTTAATCAAATTATAATAATTACTAAACAGTCGTTTACCATCATAAGTAAGTACACGAGGGGTGCAACATTTCCAACCAACAATGACCATAAAGTATCTATTCACAAATTAATTAAAAGTCCGACAAATTATGGCAATTCCAACAAAGAACAAAAAATAACAAAACACATCGGAATAAAGTACAAATAATCGCCAGTCGTGAGCGGGTTGCTTGCAAAAACTACCAAGTGTTCTGAAATTCACGTATTAAACAAAACGTTGGTGTACCAAAATCAACAACACATTGTATTTTACAAAAACCAAAATTACATCCGTATAAATACCGAATTTGTTAAAGACTTGACTTATACCTACCAAGTGATTTAGAGGGACATAGCTCATTCTGCGAATTGTACCCAAGGAAATGCCAAGAGAATATGAATTTTCCTTATAAAATAATATAGTCTAATCCGAGGTCTAATCTAATGAGGATATGATTACGAATAATGGCATTTTCAAGACAAAAATGTCCACTATTGGTTTGGAACCAATCCACCTTTAATCAGAACGTCGATGCATCAACACCGTTTTCAATATGTGGGCTGGTATTTTCGGTTCCAGGATTGAAGGACCACATTTATTTACCACCATAGTTTAACATCAGAGTGCCACTTACAGTTACTAGTAGAGGATGCTCCTAGCGACTGTTGGATATCCAGCAGGATGATGCACCTGCACGTTATTCTATAGCGCCGTTCGAGAATATCTTTCAATGGGATTTCCAGCAAAAGTGATTAACGTTTCGGAGACACCCGCAGGACAGCGCGTTCACAGGACGTAACTCCAATTGATTTCTTCATTAAGAATCGTGTTTATCAGCAAAATTTTGCAACGGAGGATGAACTCAGGGGGTTAATTCTGGTAGCATTACTCCACAAATGCCTCGACAAATGCTAACTAGTAACTAGGGCGTTAGATTCGACGGTGAGAAGATGCTATCTATGTTTAGGAAATAATGGAAATCTTTTCGAACATATGCCCTAAATTTAGTTGTTTTATTTAAATTCGTTTTTTGTTTTAATGCTTATATTTCCTATTGATTTGTTTTTTTCTTCATTAAATTTGCTATTAAATACGTAGGTAGACGATATAAACCGTTAATTGTCCCAGCTAATTATTATATATTATATTATATACATATTATATACATTGCCCATTATGTATGGAATATAGTATATATCTCGGTAAATATTGACTGTACACAAAATTTTGCTACATGAAAGTCGTTTAGCATTTTATTTCCTGTACTAAGCCAGCATTCCATTGTTTTTATTTTAGAAAACAAATAAATAACGAAAAACAATTGGATTTTTTTAAATAGTAATGCACACTTTCATTAGGCTCATTTGATAGAGATCGTAGTAGCTAATTAGCTAACACTCCCCCACTACAAAATAGACAATAAAATAAAATAAAAATAAAAAAAATTTTTCTCTTTTCAATGACGTACCACGTTAGCATCCGTGTAGAAGAAATTCATTGTTATTTCAAGTTTTTTGTCATAGGTTATGCCACTGCCTTGCTGTTAATGGTGAATATTTGAATATTTTGAACATTCATTGCGATGAAAACCATTTTACAACTAATTTCGTTTTGTCTTCAAGGTTTAATAAGAAACGTACACGTTCATTTGTTTTAATTTGATGTAGGATATCTGGATTAATGTTATTGATCAACTTATATTAAATTTTCTTGAATAAGGGTACTAACATGTTATATTTATTTATTTATTTTTATTTTATTTTTTATTTATTTTTATTTGTTTTGCCTTTATTTCTACGATGTATCATCGAAAAGAGAAAAAAACTTCTATCAAATGAGCCCAATGAAAAGATGCACTCCATTTAAAAAAAATAATTGTTTTTCGTTAGTCATTTGTTTTTTGAAATAAAAACAACTGAAAGTTGCCTTATTATGGGAAAATGTTAAACAACTTTCATATAGAAAAATGTTGTATACATTTGATATTTACCGAGATGTATACAATATTCCATACATAACGGGCACCCTGTATATACATTGTAAAGTGCAAGTGAAGTTGGTCGAGGCTACCGAGTCTGTCAAATTATTAATTTAAGTCAATATTGGGATTTTTCTTCGTGGCAGTTACCGGAAGTGGGTATACGAGGAGACATTTTTTGTTAGTATGCGTGATGTGTGGTAGAGGGCGCGGTTTCACTTTTTAACAAACTTTGCACTCACTTACTTACTTAATCTCACTATAGAGTCCCTGTAACTTAACCATGAACCGTACGTCCTCTAGGAGCGAACCTAGAAACTTGAAAATAACTTCCAGCGATTTCTGGCCTTTTAGTTAACAAAATTTTTTCCTCAAGCTGTGCAATTAACGGTTCTATAGATATGGCCTGTGGCTTTATTAATATGACCCTGTACAAAGGAAAATAGTTATGCCATAAATATTTTTATAAATAAGAAATTTACATGCACACACCTGATGTTTAAAATATTCGATATGTTTGCCTTTATTAGAACAGTCTTCAAACAATATCTCTATAAATAAGAAAGTTGACATTGCGCAGTTTGCGCATGCGCACATCTGATTTTTACAATATTGATATACCTGTCTTTAATCTTTGGTTAAAATAGTAGCTTAGCTATAAGCTACCGAATGCAAAAGGAACGAACTAAACATCTTGAAAACTGTAGGGAGTAGGCCTTAGCATCGGACGGACGGACGGACGGAGAAAGTGGCCATAATAGCGCCTTTTAACATAAGTTGGAAAATGCGCTGAAAATGTACAAGCAATTCTAAAAGTGAAAAATGTATATTACTTATTCTCGCTTCACAACACTTATTCTACATTAACAAATAACAAAAAAGATTACTAATTTAGTATATATCTTATACCTCGTTGGATGCTTTGAATCTTTGATAAATAATTAACTTGTCATTTTTTGGGGGTACTACAATGCGATCACGCGGAAACCACTATCGATTTAAACCACAGAAGCAGTAGGAATGTTCTAAACCACACAGAAAATTTTGATTTTATATACTTTGTCATCATCCGCTTTATGAAGAACAACACTAAAATTATTCTAGCCTTTGCTCAAATTGGTCTAAATTTTCTGTAATTTGGTTGGTTACCATCCTGGTTACCATATAATTAGCCTATTTTCTCAAGAAGTCGTTTTTAATTTTTGTGGTATTTAAAGGGAAATTAAGTGATATTTATTGAGAAGATTATTTTTCTGAGCGTCTTATACTTTATTAAACAGTCGATTTAATCGAGTTGCGCGCTATTTCAGTCTACAATTCGTATATTTGGAACTATTCATTCTAAAGAACCATTGGCTTATTAAACAATGGAGTTTTAGTACTTATTACCATACCTACGTAAGTGGCCTCGTGCAAAACACCTTACCTTACACCTTACCACATTTCGATAGTGTCACTTTGTCACACTACTGCGGAAAAGATAAAAATGTTGTAAAATAGATTCATATAGGTAGTAGCCACATGTCTGCAATTGCACATTCTAGATCTAGTTGCAGTTGATTCCTCATTTCGAAATATTTTTAGACAAAGGTAAGTAATTTAGATGAGATGAAGAAAATTTGTAGAAATAGAATAATTTGAAAAAACTGAAGAGTCGAATCCGGAAGATAATTTTTAGTTCTTGGTGCATTCCCCCAAAAAGCAAAGTATTTATTGAGCTACTGCAGGAGTAGTTTTTATTGTAAAAAGACGATCAAGACAAACTGCCTAATATATTCACTGTCTACATTGTTTTTAGTCTACGTGCTGACTGACTTGACCACGTCTATAACTCTCGCCAGGAAAGATTGCCGGTCACAGAACACTTGATCCCGATCTACAATCTCTGTTTTTCGTAAGGTGCTAGCGACTTCCGGGATATTATCGTGTCAGTGTTGAACGAAAAGACTTTTTGTTCAACATTAGCACGATCCTATTCCAGAAGTCGCTCGCATCTTAATAAAAACAAAGATTGTAAATCGACACAAGGTGTGCTGTGACCGGCAATCTTTCCTGGCGAGAGTTATATATGTCATAGCAAAGAGATGGGTACTCTTTGGTCATAGTAGACTACTTGACATTGTCTACTTACCCATTTAATGCGACCTGCGTGCCATCTTCCCTCTCCTTTCTCTAAACTAATCAACGAAATTGCAGTCTCAAACTTCTTTTTTCGTTGATGTCGTACTTTGCTATTTCGCTTACCGATCGATACATGCGTCAAGTCACTTGCATCGTACCGTGCCGACGTCGGAAAACAAAAACTTGCGCCAATCCATTTGTTCTATCTTTGTGCGTATTATGCTGAGAAAAAATTAAGGAAGGGGCTCAAATTTGGCGACTTTTGGGAATGGAACTTCCATGCGAAGCTTTTTTGACTCTTGATTTATTTAGAATTACCTCTGATTTTGGGTCCTTTACTACCAAGTTTAGTTTTGTAGTCTTTTTACCTACCGCTAGCTATGGCTCATTTGAATGTAGGGCAGAGAAAAAAAACACGTGTTCCACGGGAACGAAACAAAGCGCAATCTTGAATTCTTTCGTCGCGCCAGGGGCGGATTCGGGAATATTTAAATCGAATTTTAGCGAGCATATTCGGTTCCATCACTTACAAAAGTCCGTGCCTGAACCCGAATTCGAAAGAGACACCGTGATCTTTGGACATCCTCAGTGGCGTAATCGAGCATCAACTCCATTAGTTCCCTACTAATTCGTGATTTTCTAGGGGTGTTCAATCCATTAAAAAATGTACGTGTATTGGGGAAATACTATGACTTCCATTGGAATATTGCGATAGAAATTGATTTCCATAGCGATCCAAGGGGGTTTAGCTGTACCTGCCATTGATATTTCAGTCAATTCGGATAAACCGAGGGATAAACCCATTAATCGTCTTCAATTTATGCTTAAAGATATTCTAAGTGACTATATTCATAATCTCTATTTTTAAAATACGACTTTGCTAATTTTAGCCCATTAATTGGATTTAAATGGGCCAGAAGAGAAACACAAATCAGAAATGTTTCACAATGTGTTATATTTATAAAATGTTCCAAATTAATTATACCTACTCGAAAAACACCCTCTAAAATTGTACAGTCCTTGAACCGCACTAAAATAGCCCGATATTTTGGGACTGCACAATGCATCACTGATGCACCTCTCGAGCAAAGTTTCATCAACTGAATGAATGCGTTGCAATGTTGCAGCTATAAAAAAGGTTGAAACCTTTCTCATTTGGAAGATTTGACCATTATTTTAGAGCCAAGAAGTACAGGGCGCCAGGGCCTTAGATTGCCAACAATTTGTTTATGAAATATCCATCAGACATGTGAAGCTATCCGCGTGGTGCTAATAAAAAACTTCTACGATCTTTTCATAAATTTATTGTAATGTTCGCAGATTTATTTTTATCAACGTTATCGTTAAGGCCTGCATACAGAATTCATTAAACTTTAAAATGACGTGTAACTCGGGGGAGTGGGGGGGGGGGGGCCTTAAGGAGATGGAAAGTAGGATTTCAATCAGGAACTGAAACAAAGATAGGCACAAAAAATCAGACCTATTTGTATTTTATGTTAGTATAATTTATTCTGTAGCAGAGTTGAACGGACTCAACTGGGCCACCAAAATTTTCAGAGCCTGTGAGAGTCAAAGGTATACAGTTTAAAATTTAGCCTCCATTTAACAATAATACATAATGGTGCTATTGCCCGCAGCACGGGACAACATCTTCGGTAGCACACCTATAGCTGATTTTATGGATGCTTAGAAAAAAATTAAAAAATACATGAATTTCATGCACAGCACGAGCGTATCTTAGGACCCTAATTTAGAATCTGCAATTATGCTATGTACCTACTTACAAATAGATAAGTGGAGACTTGTTGGGAATTTTTCCCTACGAATAAATTGAATGTATTGTTTTTGTAATTTACATTTTATAGCCAAAAGCTTCAAGGTCGTGAAATTATGTGTAAAGTAAACAAATTATTTATTTATTTTTTTTCATATATATATTCATCATTCTGGTTTTGTATTTTGTTTGTTTGTTTGTGTTTGTTACCATTCCATTGTTACCATTGGAATATCATATTGCTTTTAAGGCATATTGATATTGGCCACCACTTTGTGTGAAAGAACTTACTGTCGGGAACTCAATCATATTCGTAGTGAAGAAAATGATGCAGACATATTAACCAAGCCGCTTCCGATAAAGTCATTCACTAAATTTGGAGATGTTGTTTTGGATGTCACCAAGTAGAGTTCTAGTGCGGATGTTGAAGACAGAAACTGAATTTTGTTTTTTTCTTAATTCGATCAACTTAATTTCAGTTTGTCAGATAGACACTTCACTTCATGATTATTGTTGTTCTTTTAGCAATAAACTTAATAATTATGTTAGATGCTCGGCACGAAAATAGGCAGCCTGATTCCAGAAAAACTGCCTATCGCTCTCGTCTAATCGTTTGCCGGGCATTGTGATAAGTTATTCCTCTACACAGCAAACACTGGAACATTTCACGACATAATTCGATGCCGCACTTACCGATGTGAACAGTAGGAATCAAAAGACGATTTTTTTAACTCACAAACTGTTATCCACTTTCCTTGTCTAGCGCACGTTTTTATGTCAATTTGATAAACACAGTATGTGGACAACAAAGACCGTAGCAAATTGGAATTGCTGTGATAGAATCGTCATACGGCCAAACATTCAATAGCCAGACTATACAAATGAATGCAAAAAATCGAGATTCAATATTTAGAAAACGTGATGAAACCTAGCGTGTCGTGTGCTGTCAGGATGTGCGGTGTCTGTTGTGCTATACAGAAGTAATTCGAATTTAAAAAAGACACAACTCGCAGAAAACGCGAAAAGTAGCAATAATGAGATTCGGTAATCGGTGGATCTACCACAAATTCTCTTCACTTGTCATCGTTTTCGTACAAATGGTGTCGAGGAATTTAATAACGAAGATTGCATAAGAAATTACATATTCTTGTATTACATTCAGTCATGGAATAAAGAATAACGTTTTTATTCAACGATTCAGAGCGGTTGAACATACCTATATAGTATATGCTTCATACAGTACAGACGTAGTAAATCGGCAAATAATACTCTATGATACAGGTCATACGTTTTCCAATATGCCAACGCTCTACTACTTCTGGCATGGACACTTTGCTAATGGTACTTTCCCTTTAAATATTCCCACGATTGGAATATTTTATTCATAGCTGCCCCTGGACTAATAATTTGTAACTATAACAAGAGCCTTTTTCCTTTTTCTATTTCAAAGTAACTTAGTTTCCATTTCCCGGAATTGATTGATTCCGGAAATGCAATTGAAATACGTATAATAATTGTAATTGTGAATCGGGTTGTACAATATTTTATGCAAACTGATGGCATGTCTGGCAAAAAAACGATCTTTGGATCGATTCCCTTACCCTCGACCATTTCCACTTACTGAATTAGTAATGATGTGAATTGCACGAATGTTTGCAGCAGCCCCTCATTTCCACCTACCTACATACGAAATACGGTCTATGTGTAATTTTGGACCGTAAAAGATTGAGCAACAAGAAGAAAATTAGGTGCAGCGAACTTGTATTTTTTTATCTACCCCCAGCTCTGGATCTCCACGGTTCATGTCATCAACCTGTTTTCTCAGAATTGCGTAACCTACAAACAATATGACTAACTCTAATTAGAACAACCTTGGATTTGAATAACAATAACATTACGGGAGCAATTCATTGTTTCGCGTCCGTAAAAGGTCGTTTTACTTCAATCGATTTCTGTTGGAAATGTCGCGCGAAATTGCCCACGTAACGATTTTTGGTGCGTTTTTACTAGTTTACAAAAATATGTTCCTAGGACTTTGTCGATTATTAATTACAATTGTTTTCTATTTCAGCTGCTAGGAATTGTGAACGTCGGTTTGGTTGGATACTATTACAATGAAAGGTTCATCACCGTTCCAGCAACGTTTTTCCTATTGATGGCAGTGACTTTCTTGGTCGGCACATTTTTAATATTGCTATCCTGTTTAGCATCAATATCAACAGCATCTATCATTGCCAAAACTTTTTACGTAAGTATTGCTGTTGATCTTCTCCAAAATGCGGACATTGTTTCTGTTGTAGGAATTTATATACCACCTGTTCGCTTTTATACTGTACCTAGCGGCATCTTTAACACTTCTTGTTCATGTGAACCAGTACAAACGATCCTACTACTACATCTATGACGAATACACCGCCGCTTCTGTAAGTAATCCTTTTAGATAAACTGCAGCAACAGGCATGGCTTTGTGCCAAGTCTGAGCCTAGTCGATTTCTTTCCATTGGAAACAGACGTTTTTCTAAATTTAAATAATGGAAAGTATTAGGTTACCTACCGAAAAAACAACAATTCAAATTATGTAATCGTTCTAATGAAGAATTCCACTAGAGTATAATATAAAAAATTCAAACGCGTACAGTGTGTGGCTAATTTTAGGTATGAGCAAATTGTTAATCTGACCTTTTCAATTATAGCATTCTTCTGCATACAAATCATTTTATACCGGGTGACATTCGCGTTTTACGTTTTCAATTTCTGCCGTAAACTTAATTACAGCCAAATTTAATTTCTGACTCACATGGTGTGTTAATTTGAAGAGCAGTCTATAAAGAGGAACATGAAAATATCCAGTGTTGGACGCCGACGTGAACCCAGCCACTTATATAACTACGATTTGGTACTAATTAATTGCACTGCACATCAGAAACAATGGACATGCTAAATTGTGAGCCCTAAAGAGAAGATCTGAATTATTTTACGGTTTTTTAAAGATTCCGAAAGTTCTTGAAGACCCTCTAGTTCTAATACTCATAATAGTTAGTTTTTAAAGCTAATAACGGCTTTAAAGATAGCAAAAAATCTAGAAGGTCGTGGGAAACTGTTTGAAATTGACGACTCTAACCTCGACTCTAACAGACCCTTAAAGGATTCGTGAAAGCTACACTACAAAACTCCAAGACATTTAGAAGGCTCTGGAGGATCTTCGAAATTATAGGAAATTCTTAAGGGTTCTTAAAGTCATAAAGCTGAATGCCTATTAAAGATTTTAAAAAACTCCTAAATGACTTTTGTACAGATTTAAAGACTGTTGAACGAAGATTTTCTAATAAATCTTTGCAAGGATATAACAAGTTATTCGAAACTATCATCCTGCTTGCTTGAGATTTTTTCCACAAACTTTACGCATTGGGAGGTCCCATCGTCAAATATTTCCAGATCTTCTATATTTTGCTTTGAAAGTACCTTCTTTTCTGAAATATCCGAATTTTGAGTTTTTACCCCATCGACGGATACGTCTCATAAACTCACTCAAGCTTAAGCTTAACTTTCCGGTGTTTTCCCATTGAAACTTGCAAGTAAGTAAAGATGTTGACATCTTTTGGTATTTTTTTGATTTTTGAAATTAAAAAAAAAAGTAAGTACATATTTTAACTCTCTACAAGAGGACCTGTCCTACGATATAACTTATTATGGGCTTAAAAGGTTCTAAAACGGCCTTGGTTCTTGGAGGCTGTTTGCAGACCCTGTACTAGAGCCTATTAACGATTTTACAGACCCTAAGCTAAGAGCTCTTAAAAACAACTGAAACCTATTGAAGTATCGGCTCTTATAGACTCTTAAAGGCTTTTAGAAGGTTTTTCGGGATTGCAGGGAACTTTTTTTAAGACCCTTAAACGCTCTTCGGTTTCTTAAGAGCTTATTAAAAATTTATAAGGTTTTCAAGGTTCGGAACTTGCGGCCCAAGACACTTAAAGGCTCTTAAAGAGTAAAAGTCTATTAAAAGTTCTTAAAAGCTCAGAATCTTAATGTCTAAAAACTGCGTAACGACTCTAAAAGTGTTTAGAAGGCTTTGGAAACTCTTGCATGGAGATCTTAAACATTCTCAGAAACTCTCCAAGCTCGGTTTTCACAACTTACAGACCAATAGCAAGGTTCTTAAAGGATCCTAAACGATTTCTCGATGACTTTTGAACACTTTCGGAGATTAAAGAAAGTTTATAAATACCTTAAAAGGCTTTTAATGACCTGAAAATGAAATGACATCGCAAAATATAGGGACCATTGACTTCAGATGACCTTGAAAATGACATCGAAAAATGAGGTCATTGACTTCAAATTTCCTTGAAAATGGAATGTGACACCCTAGAAAATTGAGCCCATTTTGATAACCTTGTAAATAAAACATAACACACCTCTGATGACTTTAAATATGAATGTGACAAAAAAAGGGGGGGTCATTAAACTGTGATAACCTTGAAAAAAAATGATACCACAAAATAGTGTGGTTGACCTTTGGATTCTAGACCTACTTTCCAATGTCAGAAATGCCCAAAGGTCAACACAAGAAGAGCGCTTGGGTGAAGGGGCGAGTGTCTTGAGCCTCGCCTTAAACCACTTCCCAAGGTGGGCGACTTGAATACCTTGACTATTGTTCAAGGTCATCGTTAGGTGGTGAGCGACCTTGACCGGTCCTGGTACCGCTGTGCATGTATCGCTACTGATGTACGTATTATAAAAGCTGGAAAACTCTTGGAGATTTTAGTTCCGGGATAATATTTGCGACATTAAGGGCAAATTTCGTAGGCACCTACCCTTAAAGTGTGTTGAGTTCTACTTTAAGGCTTTTCAGGACTCTCAAAAACTCTAAAATCTAATTAAAAGCTTTGGAAGATTTTTGATCTTTGGACGCTGTTAAAATATGTTCACCACTCATAAAGGCTCTTAATCTTTAAATGTATTTAGAAAATGGGTCTTAAAGTTTATTACAAGCGCTTAAGGTTTCTCAGAAGCTTATTAGAAGCGCTAAAAGGGTCTCTTAAATACTGTTAAAGAGTGGTAAATTGTCATTAAAGGCTTTTAAAATTTCTTGAGGAAGTTTAAAGGCTCAAAAGGACTATGATTTGTGGAGATTTTAAAATCATGACTCATATCCCACAACATAATTTTATATGACACTATGTCGGCAACATTCTGAAATATCAATTTTTTGAATTGAAGATATTTTATGTCGTTAAAATGGAACCATGTGCCCCGAAAACTTTTTTGAGTTCAAAAATTCCCATATTATTTGGTTTCCTGTTTGGAAATTCCAATTCACATATTCTTGGCGTGCGGTATTGCAGCCGCTTTTTCTCTCCGTCTGTCTCTCAGTGATTATTCATACAGTCAAGTATTTACCCTGTGCTTTTTGTAGTATCTGATCAGAACAATCTCAGGTTGATTCTTAACTACTAGAATTGAGATAAAAAATCGTTAGTTCGATTGGAAAACATGAAAAGGTTTTGTCTGGATACTTCAGAAGTGAGTTTTACATAATTTCCATAACCATGTTCATTTTCTCGCTTGAAAGTCGTTAATTACCTATGCAAGAATTTCTTGAATTGTTTTAAATTTTCCTCTGCTTGTTTTGAAAGAAATACAATTGCAATTTGATACATATACATTAATTAATTAATGATTGTAGTTAGTTTGTATATTAGCCAAAAGCTGTAATTTAAGCCCCTCCATTCTACCTCGCGAAAATTTCAATACAATGAGCACGGGTGTAGGTATATCTGGGAGCTTACACCTTCACACCTTTTGTAAAAATATCTACCCTTACAATCTCTCTGATTTATCACTTCTTAAGATTTTAGAAGGTGATGTTTTCCCACCGCTCCCTATTATTCCCCAAAATACGCGAATTTTTGACTAATGGTTTGCCAAAGAGAACAATCTATGGAAATCATTTACAAGAGGTTGTTTCCGCAAAAATCACCCCTACAAAGAATAAGTACATGAACCTAGACATGAACTATCCCTAACCAAAAATTTCCTGTATTATGCTATAAAGTTATCTTGACAGTCTGCACATTATGTGACATCGATTCTTTAGTGCTAATCAATATTTTTTCAGGTCATCGGTATTTTGTAATTGCTCAGTGTAATCTTGCCTTTTTATTATAAATCCATATAAGACGCATTTTAAGTTCTTTTAATAATATCGAGTTATGTTTTTGTGCTAATCTCTATTTTTTCAGGTTATCGGCTTAATCATCTCGATTTTGTACTTGCTCAGCGCAATCTTTGCTTACCGCAGTTATAAATCCGTATAAGACGCCATCGATTTAAATTAAAATACTTTATTGCTTAAGGCGACTAAATTTAAGTTCGTTTTATAATGTCGAGTTAAGTTTTTGTTTTTAACATAAGTGTAGGTATTATATTATTATTTGCGATATGTGTTACAAGAGAATTGCTATAGGATGTAGTTAAAAAGTAGTCAGTGCTTTTAGTATTAAACGAGGAAATATTGTGCAAGTGCGCTTTGTATAAAAGAAAAATTATAAAAGAAGAAAAGAAATATTTTAAATCAAACTGCCTAAAGTGAGATATTGATATTATTTATTCTCTATACAGAACTATCTTTATGCACTGTTATACACAATTATAATATATTTTATTTTTATGTATAGTTTACTATAGCATTGTTATATTTTTGTATAATACAAGTTCATTTATAGATATACCTTTTATTCTTGCAAAAGGTTTATAATAGTACAAAATTAAGTCCACTAGTTTGATGTTTTAATAAATTTGTGCGGAATATTGGAGACGTCTGTTTTTTGGAAAAGCTCAGGGAAGGAATGACGTTAGCTTCTTTAGTTTTACATAGCCCCCCTCCTCTTACAGATAATAAAAATATCATTAAATATTGTGAGTCAATGTTGCCAGTGTTGCATTTATTGTGCCTTAGTGTTTGCACATCTTGTATAGATCCTTAAGTTATTCTCGATTTTATATTGTTTATCCACTGAACAGATTTTAATAAATTTATTTCGCATTTTTGCACCTTAGCTTTTTTATTTTCCACTTAGCAATTATCAGAAGAACAGTAAATGTGTATGTCACTAAATAAGTACCAAACTAACTCTCTTAACTGCCACGTGCTTAAAATTATACGGTGGTGCAGATCACTGTCCATAATTTTAACGTACTTAAGTGTAAATGTCCATTTTGAATTATGAATAGTGTATAATAATAAATTGTTGATGTGTAGGTATAACGTTTTATTTTTATCCCTGACTGAGAATTACCCATTAGTGTTATAAAAGGGAAGTGAGAAAAATATTTTAAAACTCCAAAAATAGACCTACAGACTCCCTCCTAGAACGTTGCTCTCTGTAGTTTGCTTAAAAGTACCTTTGATGTAAAACTGTACTGTTGTGAATTTTGGTGACTTTTTTTGTTTAGAATAAAAAAAATGATAGGCGGCAGAGGACCGATAGTTACTGTGCACCGTACAACAGGAGGTGACAAAGGAATAAAATGTTGTTGCTGCATGTGCTGTACGTGTTTCAATTGGACGTTTTTGAAAACGCAGCATGGAATATTAAAAATAGTTGAAGTTGTAAGTATTAATTAATTCAATGCATTTCCTCCATTGCATTCTAGGTACTTACGTTAAAACGTAGGTAGGTATGTGCATTATTGTCACGCGAATAAAAATCACCGCTTTATTGGAATTTAGTAAATATGAGTTAGTATTGATTTTTTTAAGGTCTTTGAACTGTCGTGGGTGTGTACTTCCGGGGATCGTTTACCCCTAGATCTGCTCTACTTCCACATCATTATAGAAACGTCAATAAATGAAATAGCAGTTTCTGGGTTTTTGTGAATTTTCTAGACTAATTCTGTTTTATTTGTTCCAATTCAGAATTCAGTCCGTCTAGACAGGCTTAATAGGTTGTCACAGTGTGATTTTGGAATATTCTATTGACAAAAGTAAAAAAAAACCCAATTGCTTAATAGAATACCTATTCCAGATTCGCATGGTGGCAACCACGGTGAATTTATTCAACCTATTAAAATATGTCTAGACAAAAGTAAAAAACTGCCTTCTTTTATTTCCTTTCGTTTTTTCGGATCTAAGAGTAATGAGTGTTTGATTATTGTCCGTTCAGCGTAGACTGCCCACTCTTTCCCATTTTCGAAACTACTAAACGTGATGTTTGATTTCTAAAACATTATTATATACAAGTTTAAGTTTGGTTACTGTCGCAGCAAAATCAATTTAACTTTTCTATTTTTAGTAGATACATTTTTGTAACATCTGCTTATAGTAATGGTTTTTGTGAGTGACAAAATCACCATTTCCATGTCTAAAAGTTACAGGGGAAATTCCGCAATTATCAATCAGTTATGATTAGGTACCTATACATTATACATAACACTTATGTACCAACATTTCCTATCGAGTTCGACTTTACATGGTGAATTGTGCTAGTTATAGGTACCTACCTCACTTTTATGACTATACTAGGTGTTTTATAGGTACTTTAAAGTCCTGTAATCTATAAGACGCCGTGGTATCTTCAAGATTTTTTATAACATCAAAGCTTATTCTATCCGAATTCGTCTTTTATTAATATTTTATTATGAGAAAAAAATTCACGCAATATTTACAGAATACAGCAAAAAGCATGGAAAATTGACGTAGACGTCGCGTCGTCTAGTATAAAAACAGTCACGTCAATCACGCAGGTAGCCGCCCATTGTAAAACCGATCGCCTGTGAGGTGTACACAAATTATGCTATTATGTTTTCATCTTTATCTACCCCATGCAAAGAAAAAGATATACGTTTTTATACGAGACGACGTCTACGAGTAATATCATAGACGAAGATAGGCCACCGAAAGTAATTTCGTACCTTTTTACGGAAATTCGATAAAAATGGATAGTAGAAGCACAGATATACAGGGTGACAATTTGAAAACTTACCACCCCCCATATCTTAGTAAATAAACGAGATATTTAAAAAAATCAAAATCCGTTTCGGTAATTCGGAGGGGGAATCACAATGACATAGTTGGCGACGCACCCCCTCCAACCCCCTGCGCCCCAGCCACCCCAACTTTTAAATCTTAAATAGTGACCCCCCATGTGTGATACGTCGTTGGAAAGCTCTGAAAAAATGCTTTCCAACCATACCAAATAGCATTACATTTAGGTTAGTAATTATCGTGCAAATCAAAAAATAAACATGGAAAATCGTATTTAACTTGAACTTCCAAAGCCGACTCGACAGCAACTCATTTTTGATCGCCAGTTATAATCTATTCTCAAACTCTTGTCGAACCTTTTCAAATGTTGGTTTTGCAATATTTCGACATTCTTGAATTATTCTCTGTCTTAGTTCGTCTATGTTCGCCGGTTGCGTTTTAAATACGACAGATTTCAAATGTATCATATTAGTTTATTTTTTGATTTGCACGATAATTACTAACCTAAATGTAATGCTATTTGGTATGGTTGGAAAGCATTTTTTCAGAGCTTTCCAACGACGTATCACACATGGGGGGTCACTATTTAAGATTTAAAAGTTGGGGTGGCTGGGGCGCAAGGGGTTGGAGGGGGTGCGTCGCCAACTATGTCATTGTGATTCCCCCTCCGAATTACCGAAACGGATTTTGATTTTTTTTAATATCTCGTTTATTTAATAAGATATGGGGGGTGGTAAGTTTTCAAATTGTCACCTTGTATGTAACGCATACACAAACTCAGGGAAAAGTTTGAATTTCTGACTGCAGTTTAACAAGATGAAAATAATACATACAACAATAGTTTAGTCTTGACATTTGTAGGATATGCTAACTACGTACCTATTTTTAGCGCATTTCCACAAAAATAAAAACAAACGCGCTATTGTGGCCACTTTGTCCGTCCGTCCGTCTGTCGGTCCAGCCATCCGTTGGGGCGCTACTAGTTCTTTATCTTAAGAGCTATTGTTCTACCTTTTTCGCTATTTGGTTAGTTATGGTGTCGAGGCTTGCACCAAGGAAGGAATTTTTTCTGGGTTTATTACTAAAAAAGTTATTGTAAAAAACCAAAAATTTTTTACATCTTCCATAATTTTACACTTTTGTCGTTGATTTAACGATCCTAGATCGTTTATAATTTTGTATTGCTGTCTGTCGACTGTATGTTGGTCTGTTCGTCTGTTCCTTTGTCTGTCTGTTCATCTATCTGTCGGTGTGAACGCTAACTTTGTTTAGAAATGTCCGATCGCTTTGACATCTCCGTTAGTTATGAACTGAATTGCATGAAATTCAATATGGGCTAAGCCATATAATACGCAATGCCAAAAGTTGAGTCGAATCGATTAAAAATTCACTGTGCCCTTTTTGCATCTCGACCATTTGAATTGCAAACTTTTGTATTTATAAAAGTATTTAAATGAAATTTGAAAGATAGGCACTTGGAATAAAGGAAAATCAAACGCCAGTTTCAAAATTTGGTTTTGCGCATGCGCACTGCCAACTTTCTTATTTATGAAAGCATTAAAATGAAATTCTTCTTATAAACTGAAATTGAAGTAGCACGTCAAAAATGGATTGCACCTATGCAACGCTATCTTTCATATTTATTTGTGGCCGGATTTTTACGATTTTAACAGAAGTCCTAAAAATGGGAAATGAATGCAAATGCAAATGCGCTCTATGTAAATCGTTTACGATTACTTTTTTAACTTGTTAATTTTAGTAGCTGTCATAGGCACGAATTGCGGATATAAGGGTCCTGGGTCAGACAAGGCTGGTTATGATTGTATAGCGGGTTAAGAGGGAATCACCTGATTCGCTCGCCATTAAATAAAAAGAAAAAAAAGAAAATGTGTTCTGTTGCTCTCCACAGCTATACCTTACCTCTCCTTCCAACTTCAGACACCACTCCTCTTAGCTATCGTATTTGTGTTGTTAGATTACCGCCAATTGCATAATATTGTGACCTACTTAATGAGTGTTCAATCGTCTGTCGGCGATATTACTCTTACTGAGTTCAAAAGGGAGAAGTATTCTTTGGCTCAATGTATTCCCTCGCCCAGTTAAGCTATCACCTGTTCCCAGAGACCAGACTGGGCCTTCTTAGACCTTTTTTCCTACATGGATTATCACAGATTATTGAGTAGTCAGAGTATAAGTAGATACCCAGGCTCGCGTTCTCAGATACAACACTCTTGGACAATCTACTAATGTTATTATTTTATTAAGTTACACATGTTGCTGGTCTGAAGAAAATAAGAAAAAATTGAATTAGCCAAAAATATTTTTACTACCTACGTGTTTCTTCTTTCTATGTGTCCAACCCTTAAATTACGTAACTAAACTAGATGTGATAAGATTTTAGGGTTCTTCTGCCAAACGCTCGCGATCAATTATGGACTAGGCTACGATGGAGCAATCGGAAAGTCATACCACAGCTTTCTCACAACATGCTCGTGGAGTTTAATGACGTCGATTATATTGCTATTCTGTTACGTATTTTCAGAAAAGTCCATCTCCCTTATCCGCCAATCATTTTTCGTAAGTAGCCAGCCGATGAATGTAGTTATTTACATGAAATGTTGCTATTGCAGGAGACGGCGTTTAATATAACAGCTTGTGTTAGTTTTTTAAGTGCGTCGTCCTATTTGGGCTTCGCTGTGAATGCTTTCCTCTACCCGATGTACATAATAACACCATTCTTCCAAGTGTACCCAGCGATGACAGCGGCTTACGTAAGTAGTTAATGTAGTAGGTAGTAGGAATGTGTGATATAAGACAGAAAGCATTTTTCTAGGTTTTGGGATTCATTTCCGGAGCTGTGCATGGATACGACGCTTATAAGTCCTATCGATATTTTAAAGGCTATAGATAACGTTAGGAATAATTAGGAATGTGTATTTTGCTTGTGGTTGGAGGAATGTAAATAAATATTGTATTTTCTACTTAGGTATTTATAATGATCTTCTAAACATAAAATTTATGTGCATATGTAACAGAAAATGGAAAGTAAGTAGTTTTATTTATATAGGTATTTTTTTTTATAATGGAGAAGTTTAAAAATATGATCAATTTGACAAGCTCCTTAGCGCATTTTGTAGAGTATGACTTGACTGTCAATAGCAAAGACTGTAAATCTACCTTCGAATACAGCGGTGCAAGTGGGTCCTGCCAAGATAGGCGCCAAAGCTGAGGGTCTCAATGATGCTAATAAGAGGACAACCGCGAAAGATTTATCATGTCGGAAGTCGACTCGCCAACGATCTACTTCTTCAGCGAAACCCGTGCCTGATTTTATCCAGAAAAAAAAACAATGCCAAGGCTCATCACAGGTCAATGGTATCCCTTCCTCCTATCTTGTAAAGGGAAGACCCCGGGCGAGTTCAAAGAGGCATTGATACCTACCACTTCCCACACCGTCGTAGGATACGAGAAGCCATACTAGGAAACTGTAAAACCACCGTAAAAGCATCAGAACTGTCCGTAGCGGCCAGTGGCGTTGCTATGGTCATCTGCGCTCGGGGACACGACACAAAATCTGCGCCCCTTGTCGGACCGACAGAGTCTGGGGGCAAGCTGAACCCCCAACAAAATTTTGAAATTTTACGGTTTATATGGTTCATTTCATTTTCGAAACGTCTGGTATTGTAATGAAATAGAATACAGACTAATAATTCTCTATACGATTGTTACGCCACTGGTAGCGGCAGCTAACACATTGAGTTCAATCATTAACAAAACAATTGAAAAAACTCACTACTTGCCTTGGAAGAGCTGTCCCTTTTCACATTCAAACCTTTATGGAGGCTACGAAAACACTAACCGCACCGCAAAAATAAAAGGAAATATCCAGCAGTTCGTAATCAGCAGTTGGACTTCTCGCAAGAAACACCCCAAACCGATTTCCATAGCAAGGAAGGTGGAAGCAAAGGTTTCAGACGTTGATGTAAGAGGGATTGTTAGTTCTCCCAATAGCGTCAGAGGGAGCACACTCGATCGTCCAGCCACAGTATATCCCTGTCCAGCTATGGACGACGTATAATTATTATACAGTATGTCCACGGATCGAGTGCATATAAGGTGTATATGAAACATTTTTTGGTTAGATCTTCTACCTACTGCGGATAAACTTTTCAGCGACGCCTGGTTGAGTTTTCTACGAGCTCTCGGAGCGGTGGGACGTCATTTTTAGTGAACCTCCGCGCAGAGTCTCGTCATGGTTAGGGTGGAGAGAACTTTGTAGTAAATTGGAAAAAAGGAAACGTTTGATTTGCTCACTCAGGCCTTCAAGGAGGCTTGCACAAGTCGTTAAAGAAAAGACGGTCCGAAGAAATGGGCGTTCTGTGCGTCCATCAACATGTGCGAGATTTTCGGAACATGATTGCCGAATGAGTGTTCGTTTAATGTCAGAACAATTAAATTTTCCGAAAACAGATACATCGATTTGTTTTAGACGATAATAGTATTTTACATTATTAGCCAGGTAAGTGAGTTTTTACTGGCGATAGGAGAAGTTGACTGGCGAGCCGTCAGGCGAGCCTGTCATCTCCTAGAGCCAGTAAAAACTATTACCTGGCGTATAATGTACAATATTTTATTTGTTACTCATTTGTAATCGTAAATAATTAGTTCTTAAATTGATCTTGAAGAAATGTCTAAAATATCATGTGATCCATGTAACAGAGACTTCGCATTAATTCTGGCCAATGAAATTACTAGATTACTAACTTGTAAAATTTTTACAGATCTGCTGTCAGTTTTACAAGTCTGCTGTCAGTTTTACAAGTCAGTAGCGTTTAAACATGACGTTTACCCGTTTGCGTTTTGTCTTGTTAATCAACGTTTACAACTGAGTAACAAATAAAAGTCTTATCCGACGCATATCCCTTGCACATATATCGAGTCTCGAGTAGATAAGCTGAAGGGAATGAAATAAATAAAGAGAAAAAAACCTTGTAAATTGGAATCGAGGTTCATGAGGAATTCTGAACCCCGAAAAACAAAATCAAAATTCCCGCGAAAACTATCTAACATCGCATGAAACATTACCGACAAGTAGCAAATCTGTCTAGTGATAGGAGCGACGTTATGTTGTGAAGTGCTCGTGGATGTGCGTTTGTCACTCGGAGGATCGATGGAACCAACATACATACAACATAAGCACTGGTGGAGAGTGAAATTTAATTAAAACGTTACAAACATTTCAAATTCAAAATACGAACGATAGTAGCTCTAGGGTCTTCATTAATTACAAGCAAGGAAAAAGATCTACTGAATGCCTTCCAGGATACGTATTTACTTTCACTCATTACAGTATAATCTAGCCTTCGACCCGTACGACAACATCGGAGATTTAATAATTTGTATTTATAAATATAATCAATGGTACAACCCCTCATTTACAAAAATTGCGCGCGGTTTTAGTCTTGCAAACTCAAATTTATAAAGCAAAACCCTAACAAATCGATAGCAAGTAATATAATACAATAATTAACCCACATCCTAAGCTAATTACGTTTACCTATATTCGCTAATCAAACACATACACTGAAAGCCACTGCCGCGGTCGATTAATAACTCCTTCCGCAGCTTTCTCTTTCTCACTTGAAGAAAAACCATAGCGCGCATGCACTAGCGAAAACGTATTCAGTGGCGTATCAGATGCGTCTTTCTTTTACAAAATTTCAAAACAAATATGTATCACCATGTATCAAAATTTCTTTTAAAATAGTTATTTGTACAACTAGTTTTGAAAGTGATACTTTTTTTTATTAATTTGCGGCAAATTCATGGAAAAAAGACACTTTCAACACGTGTTGTACACGAAATTTTTTTGCATAGTGATCCATAATAGCCCACAATTGAATAATTTGATTGATATTCGCGATTTACTGTCACTCAAAAGTGGATGCTATTGTTCATAGACAGGACTAAACTCCATGGAAACGCATAGTAAAAATCGTGAAAAAAAGTACCACTTTCCATACGATTTTTCGTTTAAAAAAGTCCGATAATTTCATCACTATGTAAAAAATGACATTTTCGTACTTTTGTTTCATGTTTCGTTGAGAGCCACTTTGACTTTTCTAGCAAAATATTTGTATTGAAAATGCCATTAGGTACTCTTCTACATTGTAAGTAAAGTACTTTTGAAAAAACTGGGGTTCTGGCTTACCCCTCCTATAGTAAAAAAACGAAAGTTAATTTGTTCTTTAAGTCCAATAGGTCATAAAAAGTATATAAATTGATTAGTAGTCAACGACGTAGTTTTACAATGAATGAGGGTCAGGTAAATAACAAAAAATGGGAAGATACCATTCGTAGAATGGCACAAACCTGTATTTAGGAATGCTAAGAAAATCAAGAAACTAGACACCTTTAGAGACACCGTGGGGGGTAATGAAATAATACGAATACATCAAAAGTGTCAATCTATACATTTTTAAAAGGACCACCGTTTTGAGCTGTCATTATGCTACAAAGGGAAAGTTTATGCCTGATTTTAGTTCTTGTAAGGGTTAAATCCAGTTCCGGGTAAGTTGCTCTAACGAATGTATTCCTTTGAAGTTTAACCTAAGCTACTAAATATTGCTATGATTATTATTATTATAAAAATAGAGATACAGATAAAATTGAACGTACCCGGACATGATTGCAATACCAATTTTTTTAACACAGAATTAAAGAACCACTGTTGACTGAGGGTGCTGATAATGTAAAATTTACTCTTTGATATTTCCCTTATACTGCTAAACCTAAATCTGTATCGTCATAATTAATAATTTCCAAAAACAAAATGGGCAAATTCCTCTGTAGGAATTACGCCAGTTAACGTGCCAAGAAATTTAATCACTTCCAATTACTTTACAGCAATTAGTAATAAAACCAAATGTTATGACGCGATAATAAACATTATTATCTTTATAACATGCTGTTGACTAAGATAGTGCGGGCATTCTAAAATTTCAAGTTAACACAACTGGATCAGCGTCATTTAAATTTCGACGTATTTCAAATTTTTTGCAGAAGAACTCCGCGATTTCTATTTCAACAAAACAATTATGTTCCGTACCAGTCGTACCATAGTCAATACCCCTCCAGCTCACACTCCTACTAAATTCTCGCACACGCTTTTACTAAAGCCTGTGAAGATGAATGAAACTGTACTTCAATAGTGGCATACTTTAGATTACCTACGAGTTAACTGAAAGCTTAATTACTGCCGTAAAAAGATAATGCGAATTATTATTAGGAAAGAAAGTAAATTGCTAACGGAACTATTTCAGTTTTAACTCATTTGTTTCATTTGGTAGTGACGGTATGGACAATAGATTGGAAGGCTCTTTGGGGTGGCTGAAGGGTAAGTACTTTTGTTTTTGTTTGTACTGGGGTATACGCCCATTGAGTTTTTGATCTTTCTTTCATCAAGTCTGAAATGTATGCGCGTGTTAACCATGAAACAGTACAAGGTCTCATTTGGTTATTGTATATCATTAAACAACATTGATAGGTAGTATGTAAACATTTAATGTTAGGATATTTGTACAATTAGTCCTTGGACGTTATAGTCAGAGTTACTAAACTAGGACGCAAATAAAGACCAAAATTGCATTATTCATTAAACAATACTAATGCTCTACGTGACAAAATTGCAAATATACTTGGATATCATTCGCAATCGGCATGGTACTGCGGTTTCAATTACCTATATATGCGTTGCAATTACCTACTTTAGGCACTTAGGCATGTGCTTTCGAGAACATCGTGGTAATTTATCAAGTGAATCTATTTCATGGAATGAAATTAAACAATTTTGGGTTTAAGTATAACGATCCTATCGATACACGGAACGATTTCTAATTACACCTACCTACTCGTTACAAACAAACTTCCTCGTATTGTTTCTAATTTATTTTCTCATTATACCACTCACTGTCCATTTTTACCTTTACCTGACGCAATAGAAACAGGCATTTAAAGTATAATAATATTGTGAGAAGACTATAAGAGAAAATAGACTATTTAGGGTCTGTCGTATACACACGTTCATTGCACATACCTACCTACCTATATATTTTTAGTTGCGATAGTGACATAGGTTGTACCATGCACATGGGTGCATAAGGTATCCAAATACATACGAAATATGTAATCGTAAATTTCCATATTTACTTGTTTCACAGCATTGAATGCAAAATCTTATAAATAGAAGGTTACCAGGTTACAATGCCTAAATAACTAAAATTCATTTTCCTTTTTCTGTGTATAAAGAATCGAAATGGACATTAAATTCCTTGATACGTACTTTATGGTACTTATCTGTACAAATTTCAAAGTCATGTTGCGGTAATAACATCACGATGAAAATGATAGGTATTTCATAGTCACGTAATCGTATGAAATCGGTAATGGGTAATTATTTCTAGTTATAATAATGTTTAGACGGCATTTATTTGAAAGTAAACGTTCCAGGTGCAAAAATAGGCTTCTTTTTATATACTTACCTATGATCAACAACCTGCAAATGGTGTAAAACATAACAATAACAAGATCAAAGAGCAATTGTTCATAAACAATTTGCGCAAACTTGATGATTTTTGTTCAGCTACTCCGACCAAAATGTCACACTGTTATACTTACCTATAATCAACAACCTGCAAATGGTGTAAAACATAACAACAACAAGATCAAAGAGCAATTGTCACACTGTTATTAGGTATTGATCAACTAATACACAATAACACGAGCGTGGATTTCAATATATATCACTTCGGCATCGATGCCTATGACAAACAGTAAACCTCGAAAAATCTTGTCACAGAAAAAAATGATTCACATCCGCTTTCATTCCTTATTGCTGTTGACTAATCGTTTATCGACTTGATGACACCTCGAGAATGTTCTAGAAGAATCGCTACATTTATAAAGGCAAGTGCCTTGCTATACAAAGTGACTGTAAATACATTAATAAGTGCATACTGTAGGTAACCTAAATCATTGTTTAAATACTTTCCTAAATGTATTAATACTTAAATAAAACAAGTAATACATTGTTGCTAAATACAAAACACTATTGACCATAATGAAATTAATAACTTCTTAGGAAATGGGCAGCAAACTAAAACTTTTCGGTGGTATAATATTATACAAATATAATATAATATAATAAAATCCGAAATAATAACTTTGTTTATAGTGCACCAACTGTAAACAATATTTGATGCTTGGAAACACAGAAGGATACAACATTTATTTGGGTTAATTACTGCTATAACGGCCATGATACTTTATGTACGTAACGTAATTTGAAAAAAAAAAAGATCTTTTTAGGGAAAAGGGTGAAAAAATTAGGGTCGAATGTTCCAATAAATTGTAAGACTGGTGGAATTGTAAAAGTGCGCAAGTAGTTGGTAGATTCGGTTTCCTTAAAATTGCGAATTAAGCATTAGATCATCTCATATCGTGGGGTTGGTAAAATTTGCAGAAAATTCAGCGAGTGATAATAAACATTTCAGGGGGCAACCCTCATTGACTCTTAATAAAAATAGTTTACTTAATTACTAGAAGTCATCTTGAAAAATGCGTTAATTAATCAGTAATTAATTAAGTAGGGGCTATTCCGGGAGATTATGAATGAGCAAGAAGCAATCACTTAGTTTCGCCGCGAAATTTCGTTTGAGCTTTGCCAGAGTGAAAGTTGTCGTTTCTTTTAGGGCACAACTAAGTTGTGATTGTGAATATTTTTCTTGAGATGGAAATTTAAACGCGAGTTTTGTGTTTATTGCGTATTTAATGTATAATTAAACATATTCTTCCCCGCTATAAAGGAGCTATTGTGTACGTTCAGTGCCAAATTATTCCGATCCGTATGCAACAATAACAAAAAAAGGGGATTGAACTTTGTCATCTGAATTTTTAATCATAAAAATTGTTATAATCGCCCGCAGTTGAAAGAACCATAATAAAAACCGGGTGTAAAATTGTTGCTTCAAGTTTTTTCCTATTTTGGTAATTATAAGAAACATTTAAAACTTTTCTAAATTTAATTAACAACAAATCGTCGTGTTAATAAAATTCATCGTAAAAAATTCATCGTACATTATATTTGGTGGAAGTTTAAAATTGTGAAGGAAAATTATGTATATACGTATTTTCTTAAAGGAAAATCAACCTCTCTAAATGTTTTCTTCTCCTGGTGCTTCATCTCGTTTTTTGTTGACATAATTTGATTGTCGGCAGTAGCGTTGCTTAAGGCCCTTCTTTTCGCACCGAAAGCATTGTGGTCGTTGCCTACGTATGCAACAGTAAAAAAGAGTGACAGATGACAGAAAGCTCTGGCTCCACTTACACGATACTTGTTTATTCAATTAAATTTTCATGCCAATTTTCTTTTCAGATGATTATACAACGGAGACGACAGCCATACCTGAAATCATCATCGCCGAAGAGGCGGCGGCTGGAAGCCTTGCGGTGATAATAGTGTCTGCGATAATTTCAATTACTTTATTATTCATAATTGCCATCTTTATAGACTGTAGGCATCAGTAAGTTGACATCTTCATTTTGTGCGAATAATTTTACTAATTTTATGTCTTTCCAAATAGGAAAGCTAAAAATGGAAAACTGCGATCAAGAATGTTTAAAATAACCTTGCCCAAATTTGCGACTCCCAGAGTCGATCAGGAGCCTATAGCTGACAAAATGGAGACTGAAGAAGCGACTCCGGCTCCTGCAACTGTGATAGTTTAGCACTTGTTAGGTCAAAGAAAACTATTTTGTGCTGGTAATCAAGTTTAGGTATTACTGGAAGACTGAGTATAATAAATTTACGCACTAGTCCTAGGTAAATAAAATAAAAATATAAGAGATGTATTTTGAGGAATTATACGATTAGAATTAAGCAAATTAACATTTCCCTAAAACCATAGCCAGTAGGGCCATTCTAACAAACATTCCACACTCCGCTTGCCTAAAATAAGCTGCTCTTGGATCTGTATCGAAATCGGCGCTGATCTCAAACACTCTAGGTAAAGGATGTAGCACCACCATTTTCCTTTTAGCCCTAGTCATGAGTTGAGGAGTGACAACGAAATGTCCACAAGCCTGTGAATTGAAATAAATATCATCAATTTAGCTTCATCATAGACTTCATCAATGTGAAGTTAGACGCCAATCCATACCTCCTCATATTCCTCTTGGGAGTTGAACCGTTCCCTCTGAATTCTGGTCATGTACAGCACATCTGTATCAGGTAGAACCGATTCCAAACTATCATATTCTTCTTGAGGTATTCCTTTGGAGTTGACGAATTGTAAAATGTGATCCGGCATCCGGAGGTTTTTAGGATTTACGTAACGTAACTGCACGTTGTATAAAGTGAGCAGTCTTGCCAACGAATGTACAGTCCTCCCATTCTTCAAATCTCCAACGAGTGTAATGGTAAGGCCGTTAACGGTACCAATTTCCTCACGAATGGTGAAAATATCTAGCAATGCTTGTGTGGGATGTTCTCCGATACCGTCACCAGCATTAATAAGCGGTTTTCGACAGTGGTGCGAAGCTTTCTGTAACATTTGTAGACAGATTGTACAAGCAATGAGCGACCAAAAATTAAATATTCCTCCAACCACTAACTTAATCATTAACACACTTTTTATAGCGCGTCCTTCTCTTTTGCGAGCATAGGAATTTGACTCAGGTTGGACCAAAATTTTCCCAATATAGGATTTACATCCACATAAAAAATATAGTACTCTTCATTAAAACGCGTAAAGAGAGGGCTTTGATATCAGTCATCAACCTTCCGCCGGTGGAGTCTCATGGTATTTTCTTCCAGAAATCACAATCGCGCGTATTTAATTGAAACCGCATTGATAACCGAAAGAGAGGCGATGAATTGAAAAAGATTAAATTTTCCGCTGAAATTCGACTGCACCTATACAGCTTAAACTATTTAAGAAAAGTAAAAAATTAAAAATGTGCATGTTATTCTGTGATATCGTATGCAATTCCTTTGAGTGCTAAGCATTTGTAAACGGTTTGAGATTGACATATGCAGTCACCGAAACAATCACCTCTACAATATATTTTCTATAAATTTCTTCTGTTTTTCATGTTTTTAAAAAAACGCGCGACCGTGGTTTTGGTTAAAAAACACCACAAGATTCCACTAGCGGGTGTGACAATCCAAGGTCGCTCCTACATTGCATCGGTCATGCACTGTATCAACTTATTAGCGCCTCTACAAAAGATAGCAACTCCATACATATCCCTCTACGACTGCCCACCACGTCAGACTAGAAATGGAGTTGCAATCTCATTTACTAAGTGAGTTTTTAGGTCAGGCACTCGACTTTTTCGCCATAGAGATTTTTCATAATTATAGGAAAAATGACCTAACTTTAAAACATTCGAAACCTTACACAAAACAACTTACCATTACTGATCCAGGAGCTGGATGCCTTAACACCACCACGTCAACATAACCCGCCATAACAGCAATAGAATCTTCCAAGGTCTCACCTTTCTTCACCGAAGAGCTACTCTCGTTCATATCAACGACCCTTCCACCTAACCTCTGCATGGCGGCCGAGAAACTGCAGCTCGTTCGCGTACTAACTTCGTAGAAAATCGACGCCATCACTTTACCCTGCAGAATGTGACCGAGAGGACGTTCCTTCGCAACGTACATGCGAAACGTTTGCGCCAAATTGAAAATGTAGTTGAGATGGTCCTTCGTAAACATGTCCACCGATATGATGTGCTTGCCTGTCAGACCGTGCGAATGAATTTGCGGGTGTACGTTTTCGATTAAGTTCAAATTGGGGTTACTGTCGCTTTTTATTCGAGATAATGGATTTAAGGTAGGCAGGGGCGATGCGGTACGATAAAATTTGGCATCCGCACTGGTTTCGTTGGAGAAATGGACTTTTGTAGGTTCCGACAGTAGCCGCGAGAAGATTTCGTTCGTCTGGCCGTCGTTGTCATAATCTAATTTCTCCAAAATTAAACCAGGAGCAGGCGAAATCGGACGATCTAAGCCTGACGGCGGTCTAAAGTCGAGGGAGGATAGTTTCTTTATTTTCCAATCTCGTACGTTTTGCCCATAACCTGGCTGTACAAGTACTTGTCCTTCCACGTAGGCGACCTCACCGCGTAAGACAACTCTGTGAACCGAACCTCTGACTTTCCTTCCAGCAAAGGGAGTCCATTTCGCTTTGCTGAACGACATCGCTTCTGGAATAACCCACTCTTCGTCCATATCAACTTCGACGTACGTGTTGTATTGTTCCGGCAAATTAAAGATACGTTTGGGATTGCGGTAGAACTTATTTACAATATCCTCGATGGTAAGTTTGCCGGAGTGTACCGCGTCCAGTAGTAACGGCAGGATGGTCTCAAGGCCCGGAAAACCAGGTGGAGCATTTTTGCTTAGCTTCTCCTCAAGCGTGTGTGGAGCGTGGTCGGTTGCAAAACAATCGATGACGTGCAAGTTATCCCACAGAGCCTTCTGATCTTCTGGACTGACTAAGACCGGTCTCACCTGACTTCTTGAGGGCCCCAAGTATGCGACATCATCGGTTGACAAGAATAAATGGTGGGGACACACTTCGCAGGTAACTTTCATCCCTTTTTCCTTTGCCGCCTTTATGACTTGAATTTCTTCCTTTCGCGCAACGTGGCAAACATGAACGGGTCGATTGTGGAGATTGGCCAAAAGCAATATCGCTGCCGTGGTTTGACCTTCTGCATGTACACACAAAGGGGATTTCTTTGGCCAGTTAACTAAGTGTTTAGACCACACAGTTAAGTCGTCTAATTTTAACGTGGTGAATGTTTCGTTGAGGTACATTTTCAAGCCCGCAGCTGCCGGAGCCAGATCTGGTATGATTGCTGCGTTATTCGAGGAGGCTCCAACATAAATCGCATAGTCACACCTAGCGTTCTCTTTCGCTATTTCCTGAACTAATTGGAAAGACTCTTCATCGACTATGGCGGGGGGGGGGTTGGGCATTGCGCAAATCATTGTGACACCTCCGGCTAAGGCGGCGGCGGTACAGGACGAGTAGTCTTCCTTATGTGTAGCACCAGGCTCTCTGACATGAACGTGCGTATCTATGAAACCAGGGAGCTTTATTAACTGCCTAGATGTTATACAGTCAATATGCGTTTTCATTAATGGTGGTCTTCGAGAGCGCGCCAATGCCTAAAACGCCAAGTAAGCTTGCGAATTTACTCAGTGTTAGTGACTTACGTCCACAAGTAATTTGGCGCATTTTACGTCAGTAATTAGTGGAATAGAGTAATCTATGGCTAAACGACGTGTCCTGTATCCGTGAGTCATAAATGAAGATACTCTCCGGGCTCCCCCATTACGCATTGGTAAATTGATCACCAAATCAAACTGCTTCTTTGATAAGAATTCCGCTAGAGGTTTTAACTCGCCTTGACTAGTGATATCATCGATGTTTTCAAAAGTCCATTGTACTGATTCAACCTGGGACGTAAGACATTAAGATTAATAGAACGATTACCCAAAACCATGGTAGATAATACCGATCACACTTTCCTTTGTACAAAGAGCATGTAATCAAGAAAGGTTATCTTTGTTGTTTCTAATCTATAAGTGACTATAGGTAGATAACTACTTACTATTTGTGATCAGTGTAATAATGTTAATTGTAAAGTTGTGCGGCAAATGAAAGTGATTGTGATGGGTGGTTTTCAAAGCAAAAGGTCCACAAAGCCGAAAATTGCAGGAGAAACGAACAAAAATCAAAAAATGAAACAGGAAGAGACACACGAAGTCGATGATCCAATTTTGTTAGAACAGGAAATAATAGATCATATGAAAACTGAATTTAATGAGGAACCGGAAATGTTTATCTTGAATCAACTACTTATGAGCTACATGTTTTTTGATGACTATCAGAAGTATGTATGTTAGATTAGATCAAATAGCGTACTTGTTTAAAGTTCAATGCGTTTTGTGTTTTGACAGGAGTGACAGGTAATGTGACTGGGGGGCAGGAAAAGTAGCTGGACAAAGTGTTACTCTTACTGCCAACTGTCATGGAAACTAAAATTTCTGAGTGTGCTGAGGGTTTCGGGTGCATGACGATTTCGGAAAAAATTAATTACTTAAGTAATGTAAAACGAAGGGATCGGTGATATACAGTGTGTCCAGGATAAGAATGCACAGCATGAGAAAATCGGAAATCATAAGAGATACACAATTGGTTAAATGAGAAAAAAATTTGCGTATTTTAGGGGTTTAGTACAACGATGCTTTAAAAATTCGGAAATTCAGTTTAGAAGCTATTTGAAAAAAACCGAAATTAATAATATTCGTTTTTATTTTTTCTGACCCTGTTTGGAAAGATCTCAAAAAACAAAAACACTTCCCATAGGAAACTTTTAAGCCCCACAGATGTTCACCACGACGTTTCGTCTTTGAGAAACCATCATCAACTGCATTTTTTACACGGATAAAAGCTTGTATGCCTCTTTTGTCTGTTGTTTAATGTAAAATGTAATTCAAGATTTGTTATACAGGGTGTAACCTATTACACTTTTGCGATCAGACAAATACTTTTCAAGATACGAGGTTCCTGGTTGGTGATGGTTGCTGAAGTGGGGACCCAGGGAACGAGGCCCTGGTCAGTTCCTGTGCCCCCCTTCGCGGCCTTTAATCTTGGTCTCAACCTGAGAGTCGGGAAAGTGGCGAATGTGCAAGGCCCGCGTCGTAGACCCCTTGAAGAAGAACCTAGGCGAGCGGTACCAAAAAGGGCTCGCGCATGGAGAGCGATGCTCCCGCTCCCTTGGTGGTCCAGCGGAATTCGTCGATAAACACTAGAGCACGATAGCGGCGGCATCCAAGAGCGTACTGTCGCAGGTAGCCGATGATGTTCACGCACAGAGCCAGGAGTTCGCCGCCGTATTGCACGAACTTGATAGGATCGGTTCACGAACTTATGAATTAAGATGGACTGCTAATGCGGAATTGACAAATGACACCTACATGGGGGTAGTCATGATGTACACTCACTTGGCGCGAAATTCAAATCAACTGACTGAATTTGACCCATTTTCAATAGGCTTATTACTTGTGGCATATAGGTCAACTGTACAAAGTTTGAATCGAATAGGTTTAAGCGTTTGGCAGAGACAGAGAGGCGTGACCCCAAGGAGTCATTGGATTTGACCCACTTTCAATAGCCTTTAACATGTGGCATATAGGTCAACTGTGCAAAGTTTGAACCGAATAGGTTCAAGTGTTGGGCAGAGACAGAGTGGCGTGGCCCCAAGAGGTCATTGGATTTGACCCATTTTCAATAGGCATATAGCAAAGTTTGACGGTCCAAGCGTTTGACAGTTATTGTGACAGACGGACACCATCGACTCCCTTATACAGCTTGCATCGCTTTGCTTTGCTGCTGGGTTCCCTATATAATTGTTACAAAGAACAAATGAATGTACGGTTTTCTGTGATTCCTTAAACCTCAAGCAACTATGCAGGTGAATAATTTTCGCTTGCGGAACCCAATTGTTGTATTTCGAGGATCGTTCGGTATGTTGTATCTATTATCTCCTACGAGGGCGCAAATATTATTTAATTTGCAAGAACTACATCAATTTGGGTAGGAGAATAGTACACAATAAGTTTAAAATCCCTACTGGCGGACCGAGTTCTAAAATATTGTGCTTGCGATATTGAAGCTCTTAAGAAGCCCAACATTTTACACTGAGATACAACAAAATACCTATACAAAATCCCCATTCCCAACCTGATATTAATGCATCTTGTTTTGGATAAATTGCTGTACCTAAGTACTACTAAAAAATGATAAAAAATAATTTTTTATGTGCATTAGAACAGAGCTGGGCAGTGGGCAGTATTCGATTTTGTAAATACTTTTTAGTATTCAAATCCTAGTATCCAAATACTTTGTAATTAAATACTTTTATGGAAGCAGTATTTGTTTTTGTAACTCAAATACTTTCACAAAAGTATTCGAATACTTCGCATAGTATTTGAATATTTAACCTTCCTTTTTTTTTTACCAAAAATCGACTACTCCAAAATTTCTCGGGAAAACACTTTTTCTTATTAATTCTGGTGCGTAGAATTCAAAACAATTCGTACTTTCTCGATAAGATTTCTCAATCAAAAGTTATAGACTAGAAACCAATTTCGAAAGAAAATTCAAAGGGCTGTAACTTTTGAACTAGTAGCCCAATCTTGGAACTGTTTGAAATTATGGATTCTACAGGCCACATTCTATAAGAAAATTTTTTTTTCCGGGTCGATCTGAGACAATTTTTTTTTCGGGGCTCAAAAAAAGGCAGTGTATAACCTTCCTTTTTTACCAAAAATCGACTACACCAAAATTTCTCGGGAAAACACTTTTTCTTATTAATTTTGGTGCGTAGAATCCAAAACAATTCGTACGTTTTCGATTAGACCTCTCAATAAAAAGTTATGGACAAAAAACAAATTTCGAAAAAAAATTCAAAGGGCTGTAACTTTTGATCTAGTAGCCCAATCTTCAAACTGTTTGAAATTATGGACTCTCGATCGATCTCGATCTCAGACAATTTTTTTTCCGGCCTCAAAAAAAGGCAGTACTTTTAAGTTATTCAAATATTTGAGAACAATTTAGAAATGTTTAGGGAAAGTTTCTATTGTCACAAAATCAAATATAAAAATCCGATACATCTGAATACCGAACTCGATAGTCTACGTAACTTAAAAACAATAGGGACCTTTCTTATATCCTTAAAACCATGTGTACCAATTTTCAAAGCGATCGCACGTTTCTAAACAAGTTATCATGCACACGGACAAACGGATGGTCAAAAATGGATCTGTTCCAAAATCGCTAGGATTAATTTCAGAAAGACGTACGTATCATGTTCACGACGCTTTGAAAACTGGTACACGTATTCTTAAGGATACAACTGGTATAAGAAAGGTCCTGGTAGGTACCTCCTATATAATAATATAATTTTAATAATACGCTTTTACTCCCCTTAAATTTGTATATAACAATAGAAATATAAAAAAAGCTAACCCCATACAAAGTATAACTTGATTTTTTAAGTAGTATTAAGTCTTTTATCTAGTATACTATTTTAAATTTTTAATGTATTTGAGTGACAAGTATTTGAATACTTTTTACTGTATTCGAATACTTTTCAAAGTATTCGAATACCTTTGATAGTATTCGAATACCTTTGATAGTATTAGAATACTTTTGAAAGTATTCGAATACCTTTGAAAGTATTCGAATACTTTTGAAAGTATTCGAATACATTCTAAAGTATTTGAATACTTATTTTTTTAAGTATTTGAATACTTTTCAATGTATCTGTATCTAGTATTCGCTTGTGCTGGACGTAAAAGTATTTAGTATTCAAATACCTTTGATTTGTGGAAAGTATTTACTATTTAGTATTCAAATACTTTTTGAAAGTATTCTGCCCAGCTCTGCATTAGAATATAAACTTTAATTTTCAGGGATATTGCGAGATGTGTAAGTTCACCACCTGTAAGCAACAATTTAATGCAAGATCATGAAAAAGCACTACTCCTTCCCGATGTTATACTAAACCACGTTGGGCGAAAAATCAAATTGGAAACAACGGACGGAGAGTTACAACCGCTAGTATCACAAAGAATGTATATTCTCCACAACAACATAGAAGTCGTAAACAAAACGGACCCCAATTACAGTAGAATTGACAACAGTTACAGAGCAGAGATGGAAGAATCAAGGCCTAGAGGTATTATATCAATCGTGTCTGTTTGTAAGCTGTGGCTTTTTCAGGTTTTGTCAAACTGAATGTACTAGGCACACCTAGAGGTTCACACAGCAGACACAACTCCATTGATTTTCAGTCAACAGATAATGATGTCAAACATTCACTTAATAGGCCATCGACATCAAGAGACACTGATGTGAATGATGCAGAATATGGCTACACAACCATAACGGCTTTAAAGACACTCCATAGTGTTGATGTTTCAAAAACCAACATATATACCAACACTGCACAATTCCCGAAGAAATGCATATCAGAAAAGCAAGTAAAAAATTTGTATGGTTCTGAATGGGATTCTGACGAAGACGACTGTATCGATTCAAGTGAAAAACAAGTGAATGAATCTTCATTATTCGTAACTCGTTATTACCTAAATTCAACCGAGTTTATGGAGCACTTTACAAGAAACGTATTTCCAAATTACTTAGCGGCGATTTTGGAATTTCCAAGCAATTTTATAAAGCAAACAAAATCAATTTATGGCGCACTTTATTGTGATAGTATCGACTGTGATAACAACAAAATCAGATTTGAAATAGTGCCTGTAATACCAATAGGTTGGCCACAAGAAATTGTGTTCGAATGGTATTGGAGGGAGCGCGTTACAGTAAGTGTAAAGAGAGGTAGATGGATTTACAAGTGGCCAACGGATAACATGATACAGGAAATACAAAGTTTAAGTTGTGTACTCACACCTAAAGGGTTTGCCCCTAAAAAATTCACTAATCCTGAAATGCAGATTGAATGGGAAATTCACTTTCCCAAAGCGGAACGGTATCTAGAGCTAACGATGTCGCACGCTCAAATGCGATGCTATTTATTCCTTGTGATTCTCTTTCGAAAGCTAATTGAGCCGAAAACTCAAACGCACGGAATTCTCGTGGAACACATCCGGCACCTCATGTTTTGGGAATGCGAGTCAAACTACTGCAACTGGCCCGAGCACAGGCTCGGTGCTAAACTATTGTTAATACTCCAAAATTTGTTAAACAGCATGAGTAAACAGAAGTTGCCTCATTATTTTATAAGAAATAAAAATTTGTTGTACAACATACCTACCAAATACTTAATATCAAAAATGGAAATACTACAAAACGCAATCCAAGAGCCAGTACTCGGCTTTATTGCAAGTTTAAAACACTTGAGATACACCAGTCCTAAATTTTATTCGGCGCCCGACTTACAAGAGTTGCACAAAATTATCAAATCAGAGAATGTGTACGATTCAAATGTGCAAGAAACTATAGTGGCATCAGAAGTAATACAAAGTCAATCCAGGGGAAGGAATAACGAGACCGAACCTAAAAAGAAAAGGAACAAGGAGGAGGATTGGGATCGCAGGTATCTGCAATCCAAATTGCAGAAAAATATTCAAAAACTGAAGAGGAATGGCGAAATTGCCGCAAAACGGCTTGCTGAGCAATCAGATGAAGTAAGTTCAGGATTTTGAATATCCATCGAACGTCTTAAGAAAATGAATTCAGGACTGACTTTTTAGCAACTGGTTGACTTCATTTTTTAAGACGTTTTACAGTGCACACGTTTGTGAATGTCCAATGAAATTAAAACTTGCCCAAATAAAATATGAACCATGAACGTCGACGTTTTTTATTTGAGCTTGTGAAAAGTAATCTTCGTCTTATGTTGGATATACACTTGTTAAACAATACTTTCTCTTTTCCAGGTCTCGATACGAGAACGTTTTCATAACGACATAGCTAGACAAATCCGACTTCTCGAATTTTTCATACATGTTTTTAGAAAAATTTCTGAAAAAAGTTCAAAAATTGCCTCAACACACCAAACTCAACTGTACTTAAAGCAAGCGTGGTGCCTAACTAAAGTGTTAGAGGATATCGACAAGGAAGGGGCTTTAACATTGCAAGAACGCATCAGAGCCGAAGAAGAAAAATTCCTGAGGAGGAAAACTGCCGAAACCCATAATCCTGGTATACCCAAAAGAAATACGATTTTAAATAGTAAGGGGGTTGAAAGTAAAGTCTCAAATTTAGTCACAGATAGAGAAAAAATGGAAAATGGAAGCGCCACTATCGTTGACATTCATGATGTGGGGAATAAGAACGTAACTGACTACTCCACTTGTGGCGTATTGGAACAGATGCACGAAGGGTTGACTGTTCACAACGACACAAATGAATCACCACCACTCAAGGCACTAGGTTCAAAAATAATTCCTGATGTTGTCGAGATCGAATCCACAAATTTATAACTCAATTGTTTACCCTATGTATTAAGTGATTAAATAAATTATGTTTATGACCTCTTCTGAAAACACAACTACAACTTTATCTTCCTCGAGTTTATTGCAACGAATAAAACAGTTCCGGCGGACTGAGAATAAGAACCCTAGTTTTGAGAAGAGATGAGAAGCAAGCGGGTGGATGGCAGCACCTTGATTCCTTGGAAGAACTCATTTGGGACTCGACTTGGGTGGAAACACTCTGCGCCTCTTACATTCCTTGGGTCCTTGGAGTTCATAGGCCTTGGAATTCTGTGAAACTCTGCGAGACCTCATCTACCATTTAATAGGTGAATCTAGGTCAAAGTGTCACTTCAAGCGGTGAATCAGCTTACCTATTATTATTATATGTGATATTCGAGGTGATATTAGTTGTGATGTTTTTTTTCGATGAAATGTTAATACAAACTATTTTATTTTCCCCGTAGCATTTGGTTCGCTCATTTTCGTTGGTACCCTTGACGCAGCTTTTGTGGGCTGCCATAGGCCATGCGGTTTACATAGGAACATCAAAAGAATGCAAAATTAATAAATCCGGCTAATTTGCACCTTTTGAGCAACAAGAAGGGTACCAAAAATATAGAAGGGAAGAGTTTAGCTGGTTCCCTACAAGATTGGGAGCATATGCGAAGAAATATTTAAAGAATATAATTTGGATTCAACAGACTCCACAATGACACAAGATTAAATTAGTCAGAAAGCAGTGTATACTTACATCAACACCATGCTCCGTATAGAAATCCGCTGTCCCTAAACTTGCAAATAATTTATATCCCATTTTGCGAAGAATTCTCATACTGGGAAGCAACTCAACTTTGTGCTACAAGGAAATAAAGAAAGTACATAGGTAATCCATATTTTATACAGTGATACCACCTACCTTGAAACTACCAATTGATAATAAAATGGAGTGCTTAGGAATGCTAAAACCGGTACTCATCATTGCCTTCAAATAAGCTTCATATCTATTTTCTCCAAAACAGGCTACTTCGCCAGTAGACGCCATCTCAACGCCCAACATGAAGTCTGCACCGGCCAAGCGAGAAAATGAAAACTGAGGCACTTTCACACCAACCTTTCCGCATCCACTTAGAACGTCGACTGGTTCTTGTATTTCTCCAATTATAACTCGAGTGGCCATTGCGACGAAATCGTGATCGAGCGTTTTTGAGACGAACGGAAATGAGCGCGACACACGTACATTGCATTCTATGACTTTCAAGTCGTTGTCCTTAAAAACTGAACTATACTAAACGCGCCGTTATAGTCTTAGGTACTTACTTTTGCTATTAATTGCATATTGAAAGGGCCTGTGACTTCCAAGCTTGCTGCTATTGCTTTTGTAATTTGTCTAATTTTCAACAAAGTTTCAGGATTGATATCCTGTGGTGGTGTAACTAGTGTAGCATCCCCTGAATGCACACCAGCATTTTCAACGTGCTCAGACACCGCCATGCACAGTACAACACCATCACACGCAACGGCGTCTACATCAATTTCTTTGGATTCGAGCAAGAACTTGGAGATGACAATCGGATGTTCCTTACTAACATCACTGGCAGTTTTTAGATACGTTTCCAGATCTTGGTTAGAATGAGCGACATTCATAGCAGCTCCACTTAGAACATAAGACGGTCTGACCAGGCAAGGGTAGCCGACTTCTTCGCAAAATTTGATCGCCGATTTTAAGTTGGTCAGCTCCTTCCAGCGAGGCTGTAGAATACCGATACGGTCCAACATACGCGAAAACTTGAACCGATTCTCCGCGCCATCGATCGACTCCGGTGATGTACCCAATATGTTCGCCTGCTGACGGTGCAAATCCATGGCGATGTTGTTCGGGAGTTGTCCGCCCATGGAAAGAATGATACCTACTGGATTTTCCAAGTTGTAAATATCCATAACAACTTCAAATGATATCTCTTCGAAATACAGTCTATCTGACATGTCATAATCTGTGCTGACGGTTTCTGGATTATAATTAATCATTACTGTCTTGCGGTTCAATTTTTTCAGTTCTCTTAGGCAGCCGACGGCGCACCAGTCAAATTCGACTGAGCTTCCGATTCGATAGACTCCTGAGCCGATCACGATGATATGGAGCTCGTTGAAGGTTAAATCGTGACTACGCGCGTTGTAGGTGATATATAAGTAGTTGGTGGTTGCCGGCCATTCAGCTGCGACAGTATCTATTTGCTTTACAAACGGGGTCACCTGATACTCCTCTCGCTGTTTTCTGATTGCAAGTTCTGTGCTTTTGACGCATGCAGCAATTTGCTTGTCGGAGAATCCGATCTGTTTAGCCTTCAGAAGGTTGTCCGCGGTCAACTGCGGCTGGTGAATTTTTTCCAATACATCGTAGAAGTCGATTATATTTTTCATCTTTTGCAAAAACCAACAATCGATCTTTGTCAAATCGTACAACTTCTCAATACTGTAGCCGCTTTTCAGAGCAGCGGCAAGTACGTACATTCTTTTATCCGTAGGTTCTTTCAGTTCATCATCATTTATTGCTTTTATGTATGGATCAAATCCATTTACTTTCTCATCAACCATTCGGAAAGCCTTTTGGAAGGCTTCCTCGAATCTTCTTCCGATTGCCATAACTTCGCCAACACTTTTCATTGAGCTTCCAATTTTGGTGCTCACTCTAGTGAACTTGCTTAAATCCCATCGGGGAATCTTTACAACGCAATAATCCAAACTGGGCTCGAAGCAAGCGGTTGTCACACCGGTCACTGAGTTGTGAATTTTTGGAAGCGCAATACCGAGACCAAGCTTAGCAGCCACGTAAGCTAAAGGATAACCGGTTGCTTTACTGGCTAAAGCAGAACTTCTGGACAGACGAGCGTTGACTTCAATGATATAGTACTCTTCAGATGTCGGACACAGAGCGTATTGAATATTACATTCTCCCACAACGCCTAAGTGTCTAATTACATTAATTGCCGCAGTTCTCAGCATGTTGTAGTCTCGATTCGATAAAGTTTGACTAGGTGCAACGACAATTGACTCTCCAGTGTGTATCCCCAAAGGATCGACATTTTCCATATTGCAGACAGTAATACAATTGTCATAGGCATCGCGAACCACTTCGTATTCAACCTCCTTCCACCCTTTCAATGATTTATCAATGATGAGTTGGCTGGAGTGCGACAAAGCTTGCGTTGCCAAGCTCTTTAGCTCATCATCGTTATCGGCAAATCCCGACCCCAACCCTCCTAAAGAAAACGCAGCTCGCGCCATGACGGGATAACCCAAACGTTGGGCGGCTTCCAACGCTTCCTGTACGGAATAAACCGCGCAGCTGGGCGCCACCTTCTCACCAATTTCCGCTATTCGCTCGCTAAATATTTTTCGATCTTCCGTATCTATGATCGTTTGTATGGGAGTCCCCAGAATTTTTACGCCATACTTTTCAAACACTCCCGTCAATTCCAACTCGATACCACAGTTAAGGGCGGTTTGTCCACCAAAAGTCAACAAAACCCCACCCGGTCGTTCAGCTTTAATAACATTCTCCACATATTCCGGCACTAACGGCAGAAAATACACCTTATCGGCCAAGCCCTTTGAAGTCTGCACAGTCGCGATGTTGGGGTTAATAAGCACGGTCTGGATATTCTCCTCCTTCATCGCTTTTATCGCTTGCGAACCCGAATAATCGAACTCACCGGCCTGGCCAATGGATAGGCCTCCCGATCCGATTATTAAGACTTTCTTGGGGAAACTAGCGATTGGCTCCGGTCCATTTGTGTATTTCAACCTTTGAGTGATTAAGTCTCTTACAGCCACCTTCTTCGTGCTGTACTCTTTAACTGTGTCGAGGAAGACGTCGAAAAGACATTCTAAATCCTGCGGACCAGCCGTGTGCTCAGGATGGAATTGGACGCTGAAATACGGCAATGTTTTGTGCACAATTCCTTCGTTAGTTTTATCATTAGCATTTGTGAAGAGTGGAATCCAACCTGACGGTAACGATCCCGGATTAATAGCGAATCCGTGATTTTGCGAAGTCATATAGCAACGATCAGTACCTTCGTGGATGCACGGTTGATTATGGCCTCGGTTTCCGTATCTGAAATAAATTCGTGAGATCACGCCGTCAAAGGTAAGCGCTTACTTCATCTTAAAGCTCGAAGAACCAATGGCTACCGACAACAGTTGATGCCCTAAACAGATGCCAAATATTGGTTTGATTTCCTTCGAGGCTAATACGCGAGTTAGGTTTGTAATGGTAGTCTTGCACATGATTGGATCACCGGGGCCATTACTTAAAAACAGGCCATCGTAATCTTTTGCGTTTAACTCGTAATTCCATGGCACGACGTCCACCCTCGCACCACGGCGCAGAAAGCACCGTATCTGATTGTACTTTAATCCACAATCCACGGCGCATATTCTTGGATATCCCTCAGGATTGTACGTTATTGGTTTCTTCATGGAAACCTCTTCCACCAAGTTGCGCGTATTCGGATCTGCTATCTTAAGACTCGTGTTAATTGGTAGATCGTACACGATTCTAGCCAGCATCGTTCCTCGTTCGCGTATTTTTTTAGTCAATTCACGCGTATCGATTCCCTGTATTCCCGGTATGCCTTCCTCTTGCATCCATTTCGAGAGCGTTTTCTTGCTGCGCCAATGACTCGGATAATCACAATATTCGCCGACAACCAACGCGGAGGCCCATATGCGATTAGATTCGAACCAACTGCAAAATTCTGTTACGCATTGTTAACCGTTGTACAGTACTCACTAAGGAAGACCATATTCGTCGCAGTTGTTATCGGGGACTCCGTAATTTCCAATAATTGGATACGTGAGAATGAGGATTTGGGCATGATAACTGGGATCCGTTAAGGATTCCGGATACCCTACCATTCCCGTCTGAAAGACTGCGTTTTTGATTAGTATAATTTCTTACAGACTTTATCGTCATATGCCCATTTCGAACAATACGGCCGTGTTTACTGTACTTCGAAAACACGGTGGATATCTACTACTGTGTGGGATATAGAATACAACGTTGGAAGTCCGAAAAGTGTTTAGTCTTTAATTAGTATTTCACAGTAGTCTCCTACTTGAATGTTTCCTACGAAGTTGTTGTTGTGATGTCAAAATTTCAAAAATTACATAAAAATAGATTGGACTGCTCAACAGACGTATGATATAGGTACGTGTACACGCTAGTTCTAAAGTAAAGAGAAAATTGCCGTAACAGACGTTTGCTAATCGCACAAAATCTGTCGTTATCTTTTAGTAGGTATATAACATTTCAATCATTGATTTTATATTTGAAGAGAGGTCATTATTGTGTACCACGATGGATGCAGAGAACCCGCAGTTCAATTTCCAGTGTATTTTAGTATGATTGCAACAGAATGGTGTAGTCAACGGTGGCAATTCTAAGCGGAGATGAGGGAATCCGAAGATGTTGGCAGATTTACAAAAAAATATCAGATATTCCAAGAATGTACGAAGATATCCATGGAAATCCAAGGATATCCCGTTTTTTATCTGCGATTTCCCCTAGGTTGAAAGAGAAGGATTTCGAAGAAGCTGTACCCACTGCCAATTATTTTGAAGATGCAGACATTGGCCGAAAACTACGTCGGGGAGTCAAATTCCGAAATTTCCTTAACCTCTATTCAGTGACACGTCTTTTTAAAGATCATAAATTACCAAGTAAATTCCCTATACAAAAATGGATAGAAAATTTACTTTATAAGGCCTGGTCAAGGATGGATGCGATATCTGTCATGTAACAGATTGTCAAGGCACATTTTCCGTACGGGAAGCATAGAGCAATGCAATTCTTATAGGAGTTTTTAGCGTTGCGATGCCTTTTGTATAGATTCCAAATCATATTCTGAAAACATTAGGCATCGTTTTTGAACATATAAGCATGTGCTGTAAAGTGAGTTTCCGAAGAATCATCGTTTGGTGTTTGTGTATTGGTTATAAAAAGCACAATTTACGACAGAATCATTAACCCGAGCATTAACCGGTTAAGAAAAATAAGTTTTCTTTAATTAATTGTTTCAATCGATCGCTTGTTACGTAGAATGTGTGTTCTGGACCTGAGTGCCTGTTTTTATTTTAGCGTTATTTGATTGATTTTGTCTAATATATTGGTTTCATTTGTAAATGATCCTATGTCGAGCGCAAATTACGACCTAGATAAGATTTGTCATACTAAATTTTTCTGTTGGTACCTACATAGGGAAATTCCAGGTGCAAAATAATAATAAAAAATTGTAATATACTTTGGAATTATATGAACTTTGTCAAGGCTGAAGAGTTTCCAAAAACTTAATAAAATGAAAAAATTTGTCGTAGTAGCAGATGCTGGACGTGCCACGGAAAAATTTAGCCGATACGATGGGTCTAAAGAAATAAATTAAGTAAAATCGTATATCTATTTACCAGAATACCTCCCTCAGATTGAGCCATTGTTTACAGCTAAACATTCTCTTCACAAGAGTTTGGATTCACCTTCATCCCTTGGGGTCTCAGGAGATTGTATGATAAGACCTCCCTATTTACCTACATACAATTCGAATCGGGGCGACATCAAGTCGATAAAGGAAATCTTTGACGATAAGGAATGAGGGTGGCTGTGATGCATTCTTTCCGGGAAATATGATGTTTGCTATACAAGAGCATTGAGTTGGCTTTAGTTTAAGTTCCAATATCAACGCTGAATTGATAAGTGGTGATTTCGCATTCGTTGGAAGTTTGGAGTATAAGAGTAAGTGATAAATAATAATTCACTGTTATAAATCATGTAATTAAATTTGAATCTGTATTATTTGCTTATGATTTAGACGCCGCATTCTTGTTTCTCAAAAAGTGTTTAAAAAATACGCCCATTCCTTTGTACCTCGCTTTGTACTTATTTTCAAAATTTATTGTTCCTAATTACGCCTCCAAGGGCGATGCCGGAGGGGCTTCAAATGGTCTTACATTTAATTACAGTCATATAATCTAATAAAAACTTTCGAAGACTGTTAAAAATTCTAATATTAATAAATACTGTTAAGAGATCCTCTAAGATGTTTAAAAGTTCAAAATCTCTCTTAAAAACTGTACCAAATCCATAAGGGCCTTCAAAATGAAGCTCTTCAAGACGACTCTATTAAATTCTGTGAAGACTCATAACGACCTTGAGAATTATCAAACTTATTTATAAAGAGTGACTGCTGTAGTTATTCCCAACGATATCAGTGCAAGAATATCGATTTTGACATGTTTTGATCAAAATCCATGTGGTTGCCAAAAATAGATCAAAATTCCTGATGCTGCAAAACGTGTATTTCCGTCAAAAAGGTCAATTTGAACAAATCCGGATGATTACTTCTTTAAAAGAAATGTATTAGGGACTAAGGCGGACAAGAGTAACGTTTATTTACCTATTTATTGCAACATGAAGGAATGACATTTGCTATTATCGACATTTAATTTTGTTCAGAACAATTGTGCATTTCTTGGCGCCACTGCTCCGAAATGGATCGACCGATTTGGATGAAATATTTGTTGCACATTTGGTAGATATGAGAGTAGGTCGTAAAGTACATATATTTCATACCACTAGGTGATCACATAGTTCGCTGGGTGTGTGAGGTGAGGCGGCGCAGCCGCCGAAACCGAGCGTATGTCTCATACAAGAAAACGAAATTTTTCAAAGGCGGTGCGCAGTCGCGGCCATTGTAGGTACATTTTCTTCTGACCCATAGACCACAGACCAGAGTTATATCCAATTGTTACACATTTAAGAGACAGGGAACAATGCTCGGAATTATGAAACTAAACTAGGTATGACAATATTTTCAAAAGGAATTAAACACACTCAAAAAGTTAACCATGTAAAATTCATTTATTTTAGTTTTTTTACGATTTCTGAACCAGTTAAGATCGTCACTCGATAGGGGTACCTGGGGTCTGGGGTGCAGGTAAATGCTATACAACAAAAAGATTACCCTCGCGATTACCTACTATACTTGCCACCGCAACGTCGTCGTCGTGATCTAAATGTTTTTGCAATTTCTAGATTTACGAATATACTTGTTAGGGTCGTTTAGGGTGCTTTCTTTTAAATTATTGCAACCCTGTATTCACAGAATTGCGTTCAGGATACTTTAAAAAGCCGAACTTCTTTCTTGCCTCCAAATTGGCGGAGCGCAAACGTGATTGGATCATTTCAATTCGAAATTCAAATGAGCAGCCAATCAAATTGCAACAAATTTAGCACGTATTCAATTAAACTTAAACATTCAAATGGAATTTTAATCATGTATAATGTTGGGTGATAACAACATTATCTAAATAGGGGGCCACCATTTACATTCAAAAAGTTGTGTTATTGTAATGAAGCAATTTATAAAATGTAATCGCCCTCTCGATTAATTATATTTAAACTACTAACGTAACTAAAGATATAGTACCCCAATAACCACGTGTTGCATTGTACTTACCCACTTCCCCGTCGACAGGCTTTTTCGCTCCAAAAGCCTCGCCGGTAAACGTCGTACCATCTTCAAGGACCAGATAGCAAAGCATATTTTCATTTTTCTCATGCATTATTCGAAACTATTACCCGGGTTTACTTACACGAAACAAGCATGTAAATAACAATAACCTTACATGCAAAGTAGAGATAGGGTACTATTTCAACTTGACGCGGTAATTTTATTTCCAACGGATAGATGGCAATAAATGTTTCAGTACAACAAAGATCAACAATCCAATTCTGTTATCACGATAAGAGTAATAAGGATTTCCGTAACTGTAGTAACTGTAATCAATTTGAACAGGCAAACTCAGATACATCTCATTACCCATTACTGTAGTATACCCACTTAATTAGAAGATTGACGAAATAGACGTGCAATTTTTAAAAATTTTCAAATTTTTTTAGCTTTCTAGCTGATAGCTTGAGGTAGGTGACTATTATCATCACCATTTTTAGGGCATGTTAAAATTTGCTCAAATGTCGCCGTTTTAGATCATTTTAAACAGCTTTAAAAATTTTTTCCGTCTGTGTACATGGTGTCCATTATGTATGAAGTATATTAGGTAAATATCTCGGTAAGTAAATAATGACTATATAACATTTTTCTATATGCAAGTTGTTTATTTTATTTCCCATAATAAGGCAGCATTCAGTTGTTTTTATTTGAGAAAACAAATGTGTAAGCAAAAACAATTGAATTTTTTTAAATACGTTTTCATAATTGGCTCATAATTGATATAGATCTTTTTTTTCCTTTCGATGGCGCAACATGTTAGTATACAGGCTGATTCAAATTCGAGGGCCACCATGGGGATCTCGGGAACTGTATTGAAACTGAAAAAAATCCGATTATTTTCGGAGATATCCGGAAAAAAATAAATTTTTTTTATTTTTTAGTTATTAAAAGAGATATTTAGAATTAAATGACACATTATTATGGCCACTTTTTTCCCTCTACAAGATGCTAGTTTTGAATTTTAAATCCGACGTTTCGTCTCCGGTTAACCATCATCAACTTTATTTTTTCTTACGAAAGTAATTTTTCCTTTTTATGTAATTTGATACAGAGTTTTGTTCTGATTTCAAAAATTTAAACATCGTCTATCTTTTAATCAGAAATTGCGGTATAATTCGTAAAAAGCGCAAGAAACAGGTACGTACACTACCCAAGACACCATTTTCTAGGCAAAAAAGAAGATATTTTAACAATATTAGAAAAAGTGTGATGTTCACATTTTCAAAATCAGAAAAAAACTCTGTATCACATTACATAAAAAGAAAAAATTATCAAAGTCCTCGTGTGAGATCGAAGGGACTTCAGCGCATTTTTGTGTGGCAGATCAGTATTCTATTAGCCACTTTTTTCTCAACCATGAATAAAAGATCTTGTGGAAGGATACCACATTCCCTTTGACCGTTTGACGGTACCCACTTCCGATGTCCCGTTCACCCGCAATTCGCGTTTGAAGATTTAACTCCACCATCAGTAAGATCGTGTTGGGGGCTACCACATTCCCTTTGACGGTACCCACTTCCAACGTCCCGTTCACCCACAATTCGCGTTTGAAGATTTTTCTCCACCATCAGTTAGATCTTGTTGGAGGCTACCACATTTCCTTTTTCGGTGCATACTTATATTACACCCACATTTTGGTGGATCTCGCTAAAAACCTTCCACAAGATAGTACTTAATTTTTGGGTGGCACTTCTCATTGCTCGAGCTTCTATTGGTGACACGAGAAAGAGAGACAGCCATTTGAGATTTACGAAACGTTAAAACGCGTGACAGAATTCGCAACGGAAGGTAAAAGGTGCCCGAAGTTGACTACCTCACGAAGACGCGCGCGCGCGCCTTGCAAAAGGTCGTTAATTTCGCCCCTAGGCACAAAAACAAAATTCCGCCACGCAAGAGTTGTGCGCGTTTACAACATCTTTCCGACGACACCAAGTTGAAAAGAATCGGACCAAAACTGTAGTAGAAGATAGGAAAAAACTGAAAAACCTTCACGTTAGTATACTACGCTCGAGGATGACGCCCAGATGTCGCCAACCCCACATCATGTAGCCCTGTCCCCAAGGTTTACAAATTACACGGCCTTGTAGATACACGTACCACCCGTTGCCTTTCTACAAGAGTTCTTCTACGCGCCCACATTTGCTGCCAGCCAGCCAGCCAGCCAAAGTGAGATTAAAAGTACTTTTTACAAATAAATTTGCAAAAATGCGCTAAAAATTACTTTCGTAAGAAAAAACAAAGTTGATGATGGTTAACCGGAGTCAGTTGTGACTAACGTTGAAATCTGGAAGACAAGTAGACGGGTACTCGATTTGTTAGAATCTGCTCAGCTTGAATCTTTTTTAATATTGCCACAGGTTGTCTGTGATATTGCAAATACTGACAAGAATGTTTCTTTAAATGTTGCATAATATTTAAAATCTTGTGATTTGTTTCGAGTGATTTTGAAATGTTTTTATTTCTATGGTTTTCTGACGATTTTCCTGCAATTTAGTTTAAATCTTACGGACATTCCTTTCGATTTCTTGAATTGTGTGAAACCTGCATTAGTAGGTAATGCTGTCTGTGGTAGGGATGCGTACTTGAAAGTAAATGCAAACGGTAATGGTTTATTGAGTTTGATCAGCCCTTAAGGCACACAGTCTGAACGTGGACAGCCGACTCAATTGTTTATTCGTATAATACCTACTTTCAAATAAGTTTTCTGGTTCGTTTTGTCATTTTTGAAGGCAATTGGGTAATAGTTATTCACAAAGAAGGCAATACCTACGACATAAATTTTAACAACAAAGTGTGATATAATGATTGCAGATGTTAGTCGAATAATGGACACAAACTGTCACAGTGCACCACTCACTAAGAAGTTGCCATTATTAGATTTTAAATTAATTAATGAGTGACTTTTCAATTTTTCACTAATTGGTTTTGGAATCAAAAGTAAAAGTACGGATATTTCAATTATACTCCTATAATAAATAAGTACATCAATTAAAATATTGTAATAATAGTATTTACATTAGAACAGTCTTATCTCGTTAAACGAACACTAGTTAACAGAGGGTAACAGAATTACGAAATGGCACTAATAGTCTCTTGTATCCAATCTACGTTGGACGTAACTTTGTCGTACAGTCTGGGTCGATCTACCCCCGCATTGGAACAGGCGATCCTCCAGTTGGAAACGCCCGCCAAAAACCACTTGTCACTGTCAGCCAGCTGGCAAATCATGGAGGTGCCGGCAAACTCTTCTTCCTGGAAGGAAAATGTGAACAAGCATCAGGTAAGTTAAGGAGTGGGTGCTTACGTTGCAATCGTTTTGGCCGTAAATGGTGTCGGTGCAAAGGCTGTTGACGGTCGCTATGCTTATGTTTTCACAATTCTCCATTTTGGTCGCCGTGATTTGCATTCGTTGCAGCTGGTCGCGATTTCGCGCCCATCCCAATGTGTTACATTGCGACATATTAAGGGACGATATTCCAGATTTTTCAATGGGCAGGCAAATCGGCGAGACGAAGTCGCTCATAGCAACTGGCTCGTCTAGCTTCACCATAGCAATCGTGCTACCCTCGACTGGAGACTTCACCATACCAACGATGCGCCTCTCTTGTTGCCAGGGCGATGCGCTGGAAAGCCTCACGGTTCCGAGACGTGCGACCCACTCCGCTTTGGGCTGCCCTTGAAAGCACGAAGCTGTGGTCACCAGCCAGGAGGATGACAATAGAGTCGCGTCGCACATGTGGACTTCGTCTTTAAATAAGGCGACGTGCCAAGGCCAATCGCCGTGATTGGCCATTTTACCTAGGCTTAGTTGTAAATGTGGCGGGTGCGTCCTTTGAACTCCGCATTCTTAAAATGAGAAATTGAGTGTTTGTGTCAGCAACTCAAGTTTACCCACCTAACTCGGCGCAGTTTACTTTCAAGACCTGTCTCGTCTTACAAGGTGTCCGTACAAATGCAATTTCCGATTGCAGAGGATTTTTCATTTCGACATAAGAAATATTGATTTCTTCATCCTTTTCGACTTGTAACGATGTAACCTTTCTGTAACTAATGTTTAGAAACACGCAAATGATACTAAGACTGTCTTACTTGTACGAAAGTGTTTTGCACAAAGACGTCGCAACGGTATACAGAATTTCAGTTGTCTCATTGACCGATAGCGTTAAGTTCAAATTTTCAGTGCATAACTTTCCAACTTCGCCCTTTTCGTTAAATATCACAAAACCGCTCGAATAATAGCGCAGAAGGTGTGGACTCACGACCGGCGTTAACGTTACATTTGAAACACTCGGGGCCACGTTAACTAAATTAAAATTTTAAATCCGCCGTTGATTTATACGACAGTCGTAGGTACTTACGACAAGCACGTTCGTCGCTTCCGTCAGGACAATCAATTCTTCCATCACACCTTTTCGTTGGAGGTATGCAAACCGATCCGATTCCGCAGTGAATGTGACCATTAGGGCAGTAGGTGCACGATTTCTCGTCGGATAAATCCTGACAGTCCACGACGCCGTCGCAAACTCGTGGAGAAAGTGCACGAGATTGCAACTCTTTAACACAATCTAAACAAAGGTGCGCCTTAATAATTAAAATGCAAAAAGATCAAAATAATGTTGAGGTCATCGATGGTGCCTACCTGGTTTCGTTGTACACGAAGCTTTTTCGCCAAACTCTGGAAATTTGTTGCACGCGAGCAGGTCCCTCAGCCTAGGAAGAAGTCGACTACCACAACCCGACATAAAATCGCGACAAAAGCTTCTGCAAGGTAAAACCATTTCCGCTTCCTTTTCGCCATCGTTACACGAGGGTTGCAGAACTTGGCACACAAACTCGTACGCGTTTCTGTAACATTCCGCGTCCACCAACTCTCTAAATGCGATCATATCTTCTGTTACATCCTTGTGGTTCTTATGCCCGAGTAAATTAGGGTACGTTGTTACATTGTACATCAAGTTGGAACAGTAGGATACTTCCATAGAAGAACAGACTCTTGGTGGTAAGGGTTTTTGTGTAATCGCTTGTGGTAAATACCTTGTTGTCGTGGTAGATGTTGTAGGTAAAAGGAAAACGTGGCTCTCCTTAACTTCGACAGTGGAAGAGTCTATGGTTAAATTACGGAAAAACGCAGAAGGCGATTTGATTTCAGTGTGCAATATTTCCTCCAAATCCTTCGCCACGACCGAAACGTAACTTGGATCCACGTGAATATTAAAATGGACCACCAAATCCTTTCCCTCCGTCCTGAAAATAATGGAATCCTTATTTGTACTTTCTATTTCAATGCATTAGCTCGATTTCCATCGCGGAATTTGATATTTATAAGTAGATACAAACCCGTCTAATGCCAATACTTCTGTTCCGGCGAAACCGTGTGTAATTGAGCTCCTTCTAAATAGTAGATTTAATCTCTCTTTGTAATCACGCGATCGTATTTTAAAGCTGTCCGTTGAAGGATCCGCCAATTCCGGCGAGTAAACATCGCCGTCGATTATTTTAAACGTCGCCCTGTAGATCTGCTCTTCCGGTGGATCCGATGCGAAAAATGTGTCTGAAAAAGAGCAATAGAATAATTAAATGCGCTTTCTAATTTAGAAGAACGTTAATCGACCGATAAATTGCTCGTCTTTAATAACAATAGGTTGTTTGAAAGTCTTGGGTAAGAGGAGTGCTGCAAGGACAAGGTGTGTGGAATATAGAAACTAGATCTGTTTGAAATCACCCATGAACAGGTGCATTAATACGAATTGGTGACGTAACTGAATGTTAGCTAATACCCGCGGAATATTTCGATGGTGAAAAGTTACACGTGATCAACGGAATTTGGAGCGAGCTAGCGAAGTAACAGTAGCAAGTAGCAACGGTTGGTTACACCCTATGGAATTACACCCTTAAAATTTTTCTGTTGGTACCAAGGGACGTTGACCTCAACTAAAGTTTGTCATAAGTCATGTAATAGGTAGGTTCTCGACCAATAATGATTAAATTTTGTTCATCCTTAAACGGTGAACAAGATCTAAATTGTTTAATAATTTAACGTATTTAAAACTAACGTAACGTAAATTTAATTTCGTGGTTTATTTTATTTACAAACAATTAACAATAAATTTATAACAGTTTATAGAAATGAATTGATTTATAACAGTTGAAATTTATCACTCACTCACATATACACAGTTTATAACAGCGCGAACCAATTATTACTTCGGCGTTGAAGTTGGAACTAAGTGAAACGCAATTCGATTTGCTTATATGTGTTCTTAAGTGTTCTCGAACAAACACGTCATATTTCCCGGAAAGGCTGCGTCCCATCCGCCTTCGTTCTTGATCGCCGATGACTAATCTTTCATGGCGCCTCGATGCCTATCCGGATTTCTGGAATATTCGCTGCACTAACTTCTAAGCACCCAAATTTGTACTTCTCATTTAAAGTGTTGGTAAACAAAAAGACTCCTTTGGCCCCGCGGTGTACGGGTGAACTATTTTCATTTCGAATCTTGCAGATCCACAAAAAGTAATGACAAATATAGGTACCACTTTAAAAATTATACACCATATAGGAAATAAACACCATATTATTGAGGTACGTGGCTTACACTTCCAACTGTGCAAAATTTCAGTGCTAGAGCTAAAAGCTCCCATCTCATACAGAACGTGCAGTTCAGTCCCATGGAGGAATTTTGATCCTGGCAAAAGAAAAGTGCACACTGTGGTTATCAGAATATAGATATACCGCTGCGATTGTAGAAATTGATGGCGAAAAAATTTGCATAATAGCAGTATTTGTATAGGCCACAGTCTGGATATATTCAAATATTTCTTGACAGTAGGTAACCGAAATAAAGAGCAGGACGAAGGGCAGTCAAACCGCCAACGCCAGAGAATTACCACTATCCATCCATCCAACGGCACTCGAATTCGATTCCTGGTCACGCTCAAAATATTCCCTGGGCCACCACACCGTACTACCGACTGCACGAAGCGTGCGAAAGCAAAACTGCGCGAACTGTTTCGGAGAACACCCAAGCAGAGCTCACCAAAGGAAACGACAACGTCTCTGCCTACCCACAACAGAACTTGGCTACACCGGAACCAACGGACATCGTCACTGAGACAAGTGATCCCACCTCTACGCCCATGGAAGAAGACCGCGAGGGGGAACAACAGTCGCCCCAGCAAAGAAGAAGAATATTGTTTGAAAATTGTTTAGTTTTGGAGGGAATAGTCATTCGGGTGGCCATTTTTAAACGTTGCCGGGTTGACTTTTTTTCCGTGTTCTTGTAGTGTGAAGTTAGTGTAGAACCTGGGGGTTAAGTACACTACAACGTCTACCATACTAAAGCTGTCGAAACAGAACACCATAGAATCATAACGCTACCTACGGTTAAAATCATACCCCTGATATCGTCGGTCGAAGTTAGGGACATAATTCTCAAACAGAAGCTGCGAAAAGTCCCGGGATACGATGATATCACTTACAAGACCCCAGAACGGTGTTAGCCTATACATCACCCGCTTATTCAACTCCGTCATCCTATTGAAACATTTTCCGGCTGCATGGAAGCAAGCGATAATAATTATGTTGCCAAAACCAGCGAAAATCCTTAGCAATCCAAGCAACTACCGCCGCATTTCTTTGCTTCCTGCCATATGACAAATATTCGATAGGATACTTCTAGTTCGCCTGCAGACGCACTTCAACATCCGATTCAAGGAGTTGGGTTTCAAAAGTAACACTCCACCACCCAGCAGATTATCGTGCTCGTCGCACTGTACCAGAAAACTTCAATAGAGCGAAGAGTACGGTGGCAGTCTTATTCGACAACACTCCTTCAATAAAATATGGATGCATGGCCTCATCTTCAAATTATTGAGAGCCCCAAATATGCCGGTTCGTTTAATTCAACTGATCGAAGCTATCAGAGGCCAATCTATCAAGGGTAGAAGTAGGTACCAGCAGTGCAACAAGTTAAGTGTCGCCGGTTAAGAAATCCAATGGTCTCCCTCCATCCAACGCCCAAAAGATGGCAGCGGTGTAGTCCATCGCCTTACGAAACTATCGGGCAGGGCAGACCTAAGGAACCAAGAACATAAAAAAAAACACCCCAGGAGGGCGCCACAAAAGTAACAAAAAGAAACATACCCAAAACCGACAAGCAGTAGAAGGCCATGGCTAGAGCTGCTAAACAAGTGCTCATATGCCGGATTAACATACGTTTTGACTTGAAAACAAATAACACTGTAGGGTTGTACTTAGCCAAGCCTAATCTTTCATTGATTGATTGTCAGCAACGCTGATTATACTAAGCTTCTAGGTACCTTTACATAATAGACCTTTGTCGTTCTGGTCTCGGAGCTGTGCTATACCGTATAAGAAAGAAACCACAACGAAAAAAACTTAAACTGGAGGACTAGGAGTGGTACAGACGGACGGACGGAGAAAGTGCGGACAATAGCGTTTATTTTGGAAAATGCGCTAAAAACATGATAGTGTCCAAACTGCGAAGTTTCAGGTGTGGAAAAATCCCCTTTCCTGATCTTCCACTTAACCCTTTATAGATACAAATCTTACGTGGACAGACCATGTTGACCCGCTGGTTATGAAATTAAGTAGCGCATATTATGTTGCCAAAGAGTATATCACGTTTTGCAAGCAACATATGGCAGTGACGTTTGAACATAAACTAGAAACCATAAAGGACACAATGACTAATGACTATGTCAAATAAAAAAATCCAAAACTTTAAACGTTCATCAGTGTGGATTATGGAACAGGAATTCATACACGTGTTTCGATGGGTAACCGAACAGTTTTCAGAATCAGAGACGGAAGTGGGTCACGCATGACGAATTGGGTTCATAGCTCTGACTCCACTCTGGTCAAGTCGAATCAGTGAGTCAGGTCAAACCGAATAGGCAAGCCAAATCGGATCTGTAGGTCAAGTCCGGCCGATGGGTCTGAACATCTCATCAGTGAGAATATTAAAAACACCTTCACCTCTATAAGGTTGTGTATAAATAAGAGATTTCAATTAAAGTCGGCAGATTAAAGAAGAGTTGAGATATAAATGTCAAGGGCAGAATAAAAGATAGAAGAGAAGAATTTGTAACTGTGACCTCTAAACGATATGTTAGAAAACTGTGGATCTCGCAGAATTGGGACGACGAAGAACGAAAACAAGAAACGTTTGCAATCATCAAGAAACTACTACATCAAACAAATGCCCTAAGCTTTTCTAATTTCCTAATTTATTTATTTATTTATTTATTGTCCCTCTTTTGTTCTGAACCCTCAACATGCTTTCGCCCAATTACAGAGTGACCCACATAATGCTTTTTAGAGGTGCCCCTGCTGTAGAGACATTTGCAAAGAATTAGCAAATACATTTCAATGAAAATAGGGTGTCCAAATAAGGCAGAACATGAAGAACCGTAAGGCTTCCTGTAGGAAATCAAGAAGATGATTTCCCCACACAATGGGTTGAAACTATTATAAGGTCGTTATCAAGTAAAGGTCTGGCCAATTCGGAACCTGTACTTTTTATCAGCAAAATAAAAGGAAAAGTTTACCTCTCCTTAGCACAATGGAAATTAAAATAGTAATTAGGATACTTACACCCCACGTAAACGGAGGCCGAGGCCAGTAAGAGTAATCCTAGAAAGCACGCGATTATACAGCATCCGCATTTATACTGTGAGCTTAATTTATTCCTGGTGAAGCGTATGTCCGAGTCTGAAGATAGAATGGAGCTTGGAGATCTTTTGTAATGACGAGTTGTTGAGTTGACCGTGCTGATTGACATCTGGAACAATGTACAAAAAGCTTCTTACATAACATCTCAGGTATTTATTTACAAATAACATCATCAATGACTTTGACTACTTTTTAAATATCAAGGGTACCCATGAAAGTGAAACGACTTCCACCTGCAGTTAACAATGTATCACACCAAAACAGTCAGAGGTGAGTTGGATGGCACTTAACAATGGGCGAATTAAAATCCCACCCAGAAATGATTACCAATAGATAAGGTGGGTGAGTCGGAAGGTAGCAATTAGTTTTACATAAGAAAAACATCTTCATTGCCTGTGTAAGGTAATCGTAATTACTCATTATAAAATTAGCGTGGGAAAAATACACATTGCAGTGATATTTCATAATCCAAAATTTATAATAGGTACCTACATTAAAAGGATGATCGATGCTGTAAATGTAAATTAGAGTTACCTCATTCGGATTACTTTATTGGGATTTATTAAAGGTATGACTTTTCCTTGAGCCGGTTAGTTAAACCTACGAAATTAGGAAGAGATCATTATTAAATTATTACAAATTTAAATACATGGGTGTATTTGAGATTATTTAAGGTAGTCGATGACTGTATACCAGCAAAATTATAATAGTGCAATGAATTCCAATTATTAAATGTTGAATGTAGACAATAAACCTGAAGTAGTAAAAGTTTCAGAGAGAAAATTAATTTGGTCCTTTCAATCCAATAAATTTGCGTATGAACTTGGCCTAAAAAAGTCGACTCACATGTACGGGTATGGCTTCCTGTTGGTTGTTGTACATAATATCCGAAACTTGTATGTAAGTACTTACGATTCATTCAGAACTCAATTTTTTCGAAAGTGGGTCTCTTTCCTCCGCCAAGTTAGGAAGCAATAAAGTACTTGTTTCTTACTTTCGTAATTGATTTAGATTTGTAAGCAAACTACATACATATATTTCTATTTTTAGCGCATTTCCATAAAAATAAAAAAAAAATGCGCTATTGTGGCCACTTTGTCCGTCCGTCCGTCCGTCCGGCTGTCCGTCCGTCCGTCCGTCCGTCCGCTCGTTTTGCGACGCTACTAGTTCTTTATCTTAAGAGCTATTGTTCTACTTTTTCGCTAACTGTTTTATTTATGGAAGAATTTAAATGAAATTTGATACATAGGCACATGGAATAAAGGAAAATCAAACGCCAGTTTCAAAATTTGGTTTTGCGCATGCGCAGTGACAACATTTTTATTTATGGAAGAATTTATGTGAAATGTGATACATAGGCACTTGGAATAAAGGAAAATCTAGCGCCAGTTTCAAAATTTTATTTTGCGCATGCGCAGTGCTAACTTTTTTATCTATGGAAGCATTTAAGTGAAATTTGATAGTTAGGTGCTTGGAACAAAGGAAAATCTAACATTAGTTTCAAAATTTAGGTTTGCGCATGCGCAGTTCCAACTTTCTTATTTAGAAAAGCATTGAAATGAATTTCTTCTCATAAACTGAAATTGAAGTAGCACGTCAAAAATGGATTGCCCATGTGCAACGCTATCTTTCATATTTGTGGCCGGATTTTTACCATTTTAACAGAAGTTGCATCTTACAAATGGGAAATGAATGCAAGTGGAAATGCGCTTTATGTAAATCGTTTACGATTACTTTTTAACTTGTTTACTTTAATGTTTGAAGTAAGAAGAAATCCGATGAAGGAAAGTACGTCTGATGTGTTTTTTACATATTTTTTTGCTTTATTCATCGCAACACATTTTCCATGACCAAAGTGACAGGTTGAAAATTATCACCCAGATCATCGGGTCCACGTCTTTCTGCCGAATTGGGCATCCCCCGGACCACATAGTTCTGCGAGTGGTGCTCATGGAAAAGGCGGTACGTATTTACTGTTCTGTTATTGTCATCTTCCTTAGTATAATTCCACCGGCAGTTATCCTTAAGTATTCGATGCAACAGCGAGCAGGTTGTGTGTAAATGTATTATGAAATGCCCATAATAACCTATGGAAACCAAGAATGAGCGGAGCTCCGACACATCGCGTGTTTTTTGGGTTGCTTTGGATTGAAGTTCGAAATCAGAAACCAAAAGTTTACAAAACCAACTTGTTAATTTGCTTTACTTAAAAATTAATAAATTGAGAGACTCAGTAGCCTCGATCAACTTCCAAAGAATTTATTATACAAATTTTCATCAACGCCTGAACAAATCGTGGGGACGAATAGCAAAATCTGACATGATATGAGAACTGTATCCGAGTCGAACGATGGATTCGAATAAATACAATTCATGATTGACAATGAGAAAAATTTATTGCAAAACAGGTGAAAGATTTAAAACAAGATCCTTAAAAGAAAGAAAAGCTTGTTTGGGCATATTACCCCTCACCCGCGGGCGCAAAAGGCGCACTTAATTCTGACAGTTTACGAACTTCATTTTGCTTTATAACACCAAATTAGATGTCAAAGCAAAACTGGGTTGATGAATTTGATGAAAATTTTCGGTGGCTGTTCGGGCGGTAGAAACTTTTAACTTTTAATAAAAAGAAAATTAACAAAAGGCCTCGCTGTGACTAAAACTGCTTGCTTTGTCAACAAAAACTTTTTCCGTAATCGGACAACACGTTCTTCCACTACTTTGGTTATTAACTTGGTTCTGTACACTTTATCTCGAAATCGGTGAATTACCTTTCATAGCATAGAATTTAAAGATTTTGCTAAAAATGGAACTACGAACTTCTAATGGTTTTGCAGAAAAATACGTTGATACATAAAAAATATTAATGATTGGAATATAGTTTAATATAGTTCAGGTTACGATCTTTCTCAATTACCTACTGTTAAATTTGTACTTAAAACAAAACTTCTTGATGACAAAAATAATCGACTAAAGAGAAGCTGCGTCTAAATTGTCTCAACCTCGGTCACAGCATTAAGAAAAAATCAGAGAAAATCACAATTAAACCGCAAAAAACACACAACCCCTTTAGAAGGAGCAAGGTAAGTAAATACAATGACCGTTCGAGATACTGACGACGATGAATTTCAAAGAAACAGGAAGTTTTTAAACAAAACAAATTTTCCCATTAAGATGTCAAATAAAGATAAGTAAGCATCTAGTAATTCATCAAATTTCCTAACTAATTTGTTACAGAAAATGCGAATACTGATCTAAATGATGGAACTATATTAATGATAACCCATTGTCTGAAACAGAGCAGGAAGCATTGGTTAATTCTGAATTTAATGAAATTGTAAATGAGTCGCCGACTTCTGACTCTGCAAATAAATATAAAAGTTATGAATATATTTAAGAAGTTATTAAAATTCAAGTTTTTGTAATGATTAAAATTAGTGAAAATTAATTAAACACTGATAAGATATTTAGTTTAAAACAAATCTGCCTTTCGGTACTAGATTCACCCTTTATTGTTTACACTACGCAGAACAGAGCTCAAGGGTTCCACATCTTCGCATTATGACATACTAATTGTAAACGCCAGAGGTACAGCTATTAATATTTATTATTAATATCAATGTATCATAGATACGCGTTCATTATTCGGAGTAAATTTATCTCGTATTTAAAAATATCTAGACCAAATTTCGACAAGGATAAAAATGAAATTCTGTTGAGTACGGTAGAATAAAGAAGGGTTCAGGTGCATTTTACATGGACGAATCAATATTCCCAAAGCACGGAATTAAAAGCATTAAGATAACTGTGTAAATAAAATTGCAGTACGCGTTCCGAAATACTGCACTTCTATTTATAAACTCTTACCAACGTCGCGAGTACGAACAAAATTGTGATCGCTGCATGAATCTGGAGCTGCAATTACCAAAAGTGTTGACCTTGTCCTAGAGTAATCTCTGGATCTCGATGTTGTTTTAAAATAATACGGACTAAGAGGTATCGGTCCATAGTGTTCCAATTTTGATAACGGAAATTGAATTCTCGTGTTACACTTACTCTAAACAGTTTCACGGTTCTTAGGACCTTATAAGAGTGTCAGAGTTGGGATAATTAAGCATTTCATTTGGTTCTTTATGGTTTCGGGTTCGAGGTCCTTACAAGCCTGCCATGTAAAAAGAGCTGCATGCTATGAGGGTAACACTGAATACAGGCTGTGTGATAATTCCGCAACCAAGATCTTGGTCTATCGAGAAGAGGCGCTTGAATAAAAACGATTCGTCGTCACTTTGAGAAATATGTGAGAATAAAAGAAAGAAAAATAGATTTTATAATATTTTATTAAAGCACATTTTAAGAAAAAAATATGCAGGAAAGACAAAAGTATAGGATAGAATCATTCGAAATGAAGAATAATGAGGATTACCTGAATGGACAGGGTAACAAACAAAGCAGTCTTGGAGCTAGTACAGGAAAATAGGGCGAAATGTGGAATCCGCACAGAGAAGACGTGATAGAATGATAGGGCTCGTGCTCAGGCCCGAAGGATTAGTACAGCTAGCTATAAAAGGTAGGTGAGAGGGAAAGATAGGGGTAGGACGACAGAGGCCGAATAGTTAGGAACATAGGCAGGGGTAGTTATGTAGAAATGAAAAGATTACGAGCGTCCAACCAATCCTAGGATTGTGGACTTCGAGAACAAGATGCAGGGTGTCGCAATATGCACGTAAAAACGGTTTCAAGAAAGGTATTTCTTCTCACTAAATGGCTGATTGAAACACGAAAACAGTCCTGAAGCGTGAATATTTTTCATCAGACGAGCTCAGGTAATTTAAATTCAAACTATTTCAGAAGGTCTTCTGCCCACACCACATGCAAAGGACGCTCTTTGGAAATAATTTGTTTACCATACACCTACTTTTATACAATTTGAGAATCATCCGCATAAATAATGTGTTGCACAACTTTCATTTTTAAAATTCGTGATTGGAAACAAGGAAGTCTTTAAACATTTTTTTACCAAAACATTTGAATCGTTTTGAAGATAGGGAAAGTAGGGCAACATTTACGGAATTAAAAATTAGCATCTCATTGTAAATACGACTAACGGTGCTGATGAGTGATGTCAATGCTTCTGTAAGCGATGGGCACATTAACCTACTAAAAAATGAGTGTGTAATCTTAAGGCAGGCATCTTTTTTTGTTGAATAGTCTTGCAAACCGATTAGTGTTGCTTTTGAAATGTAACTCATTCATTATCGGATGACTAGGTACCTGCATGGAAATATGTTGTTAATCGCTAAAATAAAATGCATTCTTTTGTGCTAAATAACAACTTCTGCCGGATTGCGTTGCTGATGTGTTCACTGGGGAGATTGTAGAAAGTGTTCTTGGTGCACTAAATTTTGAAAAAAAACTGGAAAGCGATTATTTTGTGGCAAAAAATTAGAAATTTGTAATAATTATACATGCATACACACCCACGACATTCTGCTAATTAAAAAGACATAGACCCTGTTAATCTTTATTAAACTAACCAAGAAAGTTATCACCACTCACCTTCGAATCCCATGAAGATTTCCTATTGTTCTTGTGTTCCATTGTAATAGTCATTATGAATGGCTTAATAAAAACAAATACTAAATTAGTAAATCACATCACACTAAACCGCGTTAAAATTTCATCACGTTGCTTCATGCGCATAACTGTCCCCAGGTTACCGCAAAAGGTCACTTAGCAGTTTTTAACGCGACGTGCCTTGCAACTACACTTAATTTCGAAACCGCGAGCACATAATTTTCACGACGATTAATTTTGAAATTCTCACATCATTTCACAGATAAAAAGTACCCACGGTTTTCACTTTGGTACAGATACCGTTTTGCTTCGCTTCGGCAAACTTTCTCCTGCAACAAAGAACGGCAATCAATAACATTGTAAAAATTGTCTATTAAATGCGAAGAAAGTTCGGCGAGATTTTTTGCCGATCGAATCGATATGTAAGCGAGAATTAAACTTGACACGCTAACACTACTGTTAAGTGGTGGTCTAATTACACTTAACTGTTTTGAGTAATTTTTCAGTACATTTGTATGATTACTCGAAATTGTTGTGACGAATTTATAACTAAGTGTTTTTTTGATTGTTGCCCACTTAATTGCACAATGTAATTACTACAGTAGGAAGATTAATTTGCAAGGATGCATTAACATAGATACATGCTGGACGCTGGACGTGGTTTGAGAACTATAGAGCTCCTTACATATATAAATGAGGATAGAAAAACTAATACAATAGCCCCTTGAAGTTCGTAGCATTTTACTGAAATTTTCAACATATTTTCTATCCGTTTTTCCAGTCTTTCCAATTATCACCCCAGCCTACACAAGCGTATAACGACCATGCCAGCTATTTTTTGATAATGTAACAATCTAAGTGTCAATTTAAATATTTGTCTGGGAAAGAGCTACAGATCCTAGTACAGATCCCTTCTGGGAATCTACAGCAATTTTTAGGGAAGGCGTCCCAAGCATCTTATTTAGAGCCAGACGAGTATTCGCTCCAAAGTGGCGCTAGGTCAGGACAACGCAAAACGTTAAAATTTTACTCTAAAAAAACAAAATAGTAGTGCGAGAAAATCCCTGCAAGTTTTTCCCATTTCGTCTAAAGAAAGAAACTACACATACCAAAGAACGCTACCCTTGACCTAGGGGAATTTTTCACTAAGTATGAAGAAATCCCTCTAGGACACCGCTGACTAATAAGGACGAAACGGTTCACTTTTGCATTTTGTTGTAATAAAAAGAAAACAACCGTAAAGTATTAGTGTGATGTGTAAAAATTTCAATTAACAAATTGAGTTCTCTATTTTATCTATATATTAAAAGAACATACTTGGAGAAGGTGCATCTTGGTACATGTAAAACAAGGAAATAAAGTATTTAATATACTCAACCATTGAGTAATGGTGGGGTTTCATCATGGACCAGATTGAATAGTCATTTCCTGTATTAAGGGAGATTAATTGATTAATATTAGCTTTCTTGAATCAAAGACCACGTAGCAATTTTTATTATAAACAATCAATGTAAGTGAGCCGGCCCGTGTGGCGCAATTCAGTTGAAACTGGACTGCAGTGCTAAGGGCCCCTGGTTCGGGTTGGGTTGGTAGAGCAGCCTTGGCTGAAACCCTACCTACTCGAAAATAAAGGCAAATAAATTAATAAATAAATAAATAAATAAATAAGTAATTAAGTTCAGAGCTTCAATATTTATGTATTATAAAAGACGATAAAAGGATATTTTAACCATCGAGGGACAGATGTTCATGGTTAGTTTCCCTGTATAATACAAAACTCTATTTTATAGCAGAAACCATCTAAATCATTATAAACTTCCGAAAATTTTGAATTTAAGACGTCAAAAATAGTAAAATTAGGTTCTTCCTATCTTGTTTATTCGAAGGGTTCTTCTGTCGATTCCATAGAGACAGTATTGCTGTCTGTTCGGAACTTTATTTTATTTCGTGCTCCGCATCCTAGTTTTAATAAGAATGACAAGTGTCATTGAAATGCACAATGATTTGCATCACTTTATCTTTTCTCTACGTAACTACCATCTACTTTTTTACACAATCATCAATTAATAGCACGCTTTGCTCTCTACTGTTCTCCAGGGAGTTGTAAATGACCCCCAAACAACGAGGGGTCTGCCAAGACCAACGGCATCAGGATGGGTAAGACAATGGGAAACCACCACATTAAAGACCCTTTGGGTTGTCCTTTGCAAAGGCGTAGAAGATAAGAAAGAAAACGTGAATTGTTCTCTATAGAAATATTCCGGGTTGGTTTCCCAATCGGATGCCCGAAGGAAACATTTTGCGAAGAATTCTACGTTTTTTTGGAAGTGAAAGGACGGAAGTCAGCAACAAGAGTAGAATAGACAAGGGGAAACTAAGAGTTGGAACTTGGAACGTAAGAAGCATGCTCAGAAGAAAAGAGAAACTGGAAAACCTAACACAGGAAATAATTAAGAATGATATGGATTTGACAGGATATAGGAGTTAGTGAAGTCAGGTGGGAAGGTGAAGGAGAGACAAGAGTGGATGGTGGCACATTTTATCTTTGTGGAGAGAAAACGGGGTTTATTGCGAGTAAGAGCATTTATAAAGGCCTGTATTAGTAAAGTATAAGGCATGGTTGTGATAGAATAATTACAGTAAAGATAGAAAGAGTACCAAAAAGTTTTTGAGTCATTCGGTATATATGCCCACCAGTAATCAAGAGGACGAAGAGGTTGGAGAGTATGAAAAGAATAATGAAACCATAAAGAATGAAGGCAGAGTATCGAATTCTGAATACGAAGCTTAGAAAAGAAACTGATAGTGCTAAAGGAGAAATGTAGCGAGATAGAGCAGTTCACTAAAATTGGAAGGCTGGTTTACAAGAATGCAAAAAATGTGGTAGGGGGAAGAATAAATGTGAGGTCTTCATTGAGGATAAACATGGCAAAATTCTAAGGGATGATTTTTTTACACCCACACATGCCGTAAAGTAGATCTTATTGTGGAGGTTCTAAATTTGTGTTTCTTTGATCTCAGGCGGACTATTCTTCAAAAATTAATTTATTCGTCAAAGAAAGTGTCCAATCCGATATTTGTGGACCAATTTCGATGAAAACACGTCGGAAAGCGTTGCGTTTATTTCAATAATCATAACAACGATTTCTTAACAAAATACAACACTCATATAAAGATGATGAAATTATTCCGTTCTACTCTTCGTTTACAGCTCATTTGAGGTTCTTCTGATGTAACATAGAGCCTAAAAGCTTGCAATTACGGTTAAAAAGAAAGTCAATCTCTCCAGTTGTCAATAGTCCGGATGAATGAAAGTATGTATTTCTCAAATAAAACATGTCATCAGAAAGGAGATGTTAAATCGACTCGAGACCGAGACTAATAATTGACTATTGACAATGGAGAATGAACGTCTTTATTACACAGTTCCTTCACTATCGTCTCAAAAGGGTACGGCACGAAGTGAAAGTTTAATAAATTACAGGCTTAGAGTGGTAGATTCACGTTCATGATTTTATGAATTTTAAAGTACATTATAGTATTTACAAATGACTCTTATTAACGGTACAGTTGTACTGCTGAATTCTTTTGCTCGCATCCTTTTCAGTCATGTAAGTAAAAGAATATCTAGCCTAGTTAGTGGAATGTGGGTGGTTGTCCTCTATTGTATGTGTCCGTGGTCGCGATATGGGACCTGAGTAAATTTACTGAAATTTCACATGAATTTGCAAACCACACTTTATAACAAAAAAGAATGGGAGTAAGTTTCGTTAGTCCCGTTGTTGCAGACACTTTGTGAGAAATAAATTTCATAAAAGTTAAAAATCTAAGTAAATGCTTATTTTTATATGTTTAAAGAGGACCATATCAGCATACGAAGGTTTTTGTAGAAGGAGGTATCCAGTCCAGTTGTGTCAATGATTTTGCTGTCAACAACCAACAACCATAACGTAGGTACCACGGTAACTGATCACGTAGGACGATATATCTACCGTTCCAAAGATTTGGTCACGGAGGTCGTCGATTGATTAATGGGGGACCATCTATTGTGACCTTTACAATTCAAACCGATTATAACTATGTCAAAAATTCAATGGATTTAAACTTAGTTGATTGAATATATTAATAAAAGCAAACGTGATCAATTTCCATTCTTCTTCATATGTACCTGGATACAAAATATGGGTTTGATTCATAAAAAAAAAATAAAAAATTCGATGCCTACTTCGTAATCACGTGTCCATGCTAACTTTGACATAATAAAGGACTGGTAGATTCTGCTGTCCAAAATATATACGCTATCCAACCGAAGGCCAAAGGAATGGTGTCACTGAAATTAACTATTAAATTCCCAATCAATGGAACAAAATAACCCAAATCCTTTGTCTGGATTTGATTCCTATCAATAAATATAATACAAAATCTGTTTGAAGCAAGTACTTCTCATACCTCGATCTCTTCAGGAATATCAAAATTATTTCAAACAAAATTAATAATTTACAAATTCCTAAAAATAATGTCATTATACTTTATATAAAATAAAAATTTAAGATATCTTTAGGTAATTGACGTTCATGAGATTCCTTTCATGTTACAAATGTCCCCGCGTATTGCGAATCCGAACAAAGTTGATTTAAATACCGAAATATAATGCCAAATTTTCATGGCTCTGGGATTTCCCAAGGTTGTGGCTTTGAACCCAGGTCATGGCGTTGGATGCTGGACCAAGGTAATGGCCTTGTATCCTGGGCCAAGGTCATGGCCTTGATTTTTGGATGTCATGGAGGGCACGACCTTGGCACAGTTATCACTACAATTGCGTAACTTTAAGAGAAAGATGATTGTGAAGCTGTTAAAACTGACACTAATAATACGTGTTTCAGCGCGCTCACTAATTGAAATTAGAAAGCTATTACGCCTTCGAAAACAAATAAACCTTGGAAAATGAAATGGTGGCCTCGGCTTTAATCAAGGTCATGGCCTTAGATTTCGACCACGGGTTTTCTCGAATATCGTCCAGGTCATTGCTCCGGGATTTCCTAAGAGCTTGCAAGCATGTATGAGTTTACATTTTGATTGTAACTTCCCAAGGTCATGGCCCTGGATGTTGACCGCAGGTTTGCCCAAGGTCATTACCTCGACTTGCGACATTGTTTTCCCAAGGTTACGACCTTAGATTTTGACCTTGGGTTTTCCCCAAAGTCATCACTTTGACTTGTGACAATGGTATACATTTTCGAGTTTAACTTTATATGTTGGTTAAAAAGGTAAACAAAGTTTAAAAAAGATATTTGAGATACGTTTTAAGCTTTAGGATGACATTTGAAAT